TTTGAATGGTAATGCCCATCAACACTCTTGGGGGGCAGCCCCCTCAGTTATTTTATTGGGGGGTGAAGGAGTTTGCTCCTATGGTAGAAAGAGTTCCATGTGTTATTTGTACTCTGTGAACATTCATTATTGTTTTGCCAGTAAGTTTCATTTGATGACTTTCTGTTCATGCGTGCCATCTCTAATCTTATAAATTTCTATCATATTTGCCTTCCTTATACTTTTTTTTGGGGGGGGGAAATAAAATTTAAAGCCCTACTTTTATGCCACTTTTTGCAGAGAACATATTCCACTTCAACCCTGATAAATTTTAATTCCCTTTCCTACACTGCTTTGAGAACTCTGTGCAGTCACACAAGTTCTGCAAGCTCAGAACCTGTATGACAGCACATATGTAGAGCAACATGCTGCGGTAGCATTTTGGCAAGCAGCCTGCCCCCTAGGGCATGACTCCCACCTTCCCAGTCAGAACACATTTCATTGTTGCCCCAGCAACAATTTTAATTGCCATTTTCTGCACTATTCCCCATGTGGCATAATCAGAACTTGACAAAGTACCCCAAATGAACATTTGTATACTGATAAAACTGCATTAGGATTCTTGGCACCCAAAGTACACTGAACTTCATAATACTGAATTTGCTTTATTCATTGGTGTAAGATGCTGTATTCAACAAGCTTTCCATAATGATAGTGCTATGCAAAGTTTAAACCAGCAAAATACCACCAGTAAACCATGGGTTGTATCCCAGTGAATCAATGGGTTCAGGGAACGACTTGTGCGAATGCAAATGAATTTCTATTACCTCCCCCACCCACTGCCCCCAAATCTGCTCTGGGTTTCCCCTCAACCTCTCCCCTCCCCAAGCAGATTTGTGGGCATTGCGGCAGAGTGAGGGGGAAGAAGGAAGGGAAGTTCGGTCGCACTCACAGAAGTTCTTCTGTGCACATAGTGATTTTGTTGGCTACAGCCCCATGTTTGTTGGTATCTCAAGTCTGTGTAAACCTCTTCTGGTAAGAGAAATAATTATAATGTTTCTTCTTTGCAGCACCTCTTTAAAACATAACCGTAGCCACCAGCAAAGAGCAGGAGGCAGCAGAGGATGTTGGTTGTGCTTCTGTTTGAAATGTTGTGACCTGTTTCAAAGCAAAGTGCAGGGCCCCCCTTCCCCCCTCCACCCAGACTCTCTCAGCCTGCGGTATGAAGTTTCATCCAGACTTTCCTTCCAATTCAGCTGCTTCAGCAGAATGAGAGAGGTAAGCTTAGCTTTCTGCAAAACATTGAAAGTGAAGCGGCCAAATGGGATGCAGCATAAGATTTCTCTTTGAAGTCTGACCACCCACTCTCACTGGAGCATCTCATTAAAATGCCACATCACAGGGAAACTGAGCATCCATCAGCTGCCACTGGGTGCTGTGCTCAGTGGTGCTTTGAAGAAGCTCTGCCGCTTTTTGTTTGAGCAAAACTCTTGCCAGTATTCACATGCAAAACCCCACGAAACAAAAGTGAGAATTTGGCATCAAATGCAACATGGCTTACAGGAGCTTTATGTTGTGAAATCCTCCTATTGCATTTTTATTTCTCTTCATTATGATTCTCTTCCTGTTTTCTTACTCTTTTTGAAATGCAAGAAAGCTGGGTACGCTTAAGAATCTTCCATCTTATTAATCTGAATCTTTTTGGGTGAGGGTAATTCTGTACATAACAAGATTTCTGATCTGCACTTAACACTGTTTGAGCTTTATTAATTTGATATACCCATGGAAGAGGAGAGAGCAACATTTTTCTTCTTCTTGCCTAAGTCAATATAGAAATGTAAAGGAAACCAACTTCCAGCATTTATGCAAACATTGACATACTGATGCATGTCTGTTCTCTACAGCTGGGCTTCTTAGAACTAATAACTTGCTGGAGGTTGAAGCTGAAAAGAAGCTGATCTGGCCTATGACAGTACTATACGTGAGGGGAATCACCGTAAGTAAGGTTGGAGCCTGTATGTGTACAGTTCAAATCATAATTCCTAAAAAGAGACTATAGCATAGTATAACATACTAAATAGGTGAGGACAGAAAATGTTGTTCTGTTGGCCAATTCACACTGTGTTTTTTAAGAACCCTCTGTTAAAAAGATACAGAGAAAATACAGAATTCTAGCTGATCTCCCACCTCAGCTGTTGTGTGATTTTATGGTAACTGGATAACAGTGATGTGCACCTTGAATCGTTTGGAGGAAGACTTCTAATATCCTATTGAATCCTAATATCATACTGAATTGTAATTAGGCCCATTTATAATGTAATGACGAACCATGGTTTACATGCTATGGGAACTCATTCTGGGTATGACAGATTTACCCAGATTAATGTTCAAAATTGCAATTCAAAATTGTATTTTTTAATTTGTTTAGCTGAGTGCCCCACTGTTCAGATGGGAAAGCTGAATATAAACATTTTAATGGAAAATAATACAAATAAGCAATACAGACCTCCCTGGAGTCAGGAACAAAGCTTCTTAAGATACACATAGAGATGAATCACAGCCTACCTTTCTTTATACAAATGTTTATATGTGTATGCATATGTGTGTTCCACTACAGTCTTTGGTAAAACAGTTTCCATAGATTGAAGCTGCAGGGCATTTCCCTTGTAAGTCATGCACTATGCATTTATGTGCATAGGGTTTAAATATTTCCAGATGGATTGTATCAGTGGCTTTAATGGCAAGTGGGCAGGTCCCAGCAAGCCTTCTCAGTAACAAAGATAAATGTGTACAGTAAAGTTCAGCTTCCTGGCAAGCAATTAAATGCCTTGTCTCTGACTCAGAACCACGGGCATTTGCCAGCAATTAACTGGAGTAATGCCAGAGAGCTCACAAATGATTATATATATATATATATATATATATGCAGGTTTTGGTGTCCTCGGGTGTCTTCCCGTGTAAAAGTTGGGGTGTCTAGGCGACGTTTCGACGAGGTCTCACTCGTCATCTTCAGGCTGGTGCTTTCGGCTTCTTGTTACTGGAACAGAGCAGGATCTCAGTGTGATCCTGCTCTGTTCCAGTAACAAGAAGCCGAAAGCACCAGCCTGAAGATGACGAGTGAGACCTCGTCGAAACGTCGCCTAGACACCCCAACTTTTACACGGGAAGACACCCGAGGACACCAAAACCTACATATATATATATATATATATATTGGCCATTTTAACAATTGTAACAAAAAGTAGGAGTGTGTAGGGATTGCCATCAAAGCAGTGATAAAGAGTCGTAGAATCTACAACCCCCAAAGTGGCCAAGTTACTTCATTATTTGGTCAGTGTTCCTAACTCAGTGCTGGTTTCCTAACTAGGCTAGAGGTGGTGATTCAGAGCAGGGCTGGTTTTGGCTGGAGTTAGTTGTGGGAGGAATGGAACTGTCTTTTGGCTACTGCTTTGGTCCCACATCTGTATCTAAATACTGTACGAGAAAATAATTGTCAGAAATAATTGCCATTAGATATTGTTGTAGCTTTGTGTCTTAAAATAGCTGCAGTGGAAGTGTAACCTTCCAATGGAAAAGAGAAATATTCAAACAACTCCAGCGTGGTTCCTCCAACTGTGGATGACACATAACCATTCCATGAATTTGTCCAACCCTCATTTTAAGCCATCACTACATCTTGTGGGAGTGAGTTCCGTTGTTTAACTGTATGTTATATGAAGAAGTACTTTTTTGTCTGACATTTGTTTCTTCCTGCTCAAACTATGATTTTGCCCTTTGCCAGTTGTGCTGATTTTGACTTTTGTACAGTGGAAACCATCTTATTCTTGAAGACGCAAATGCCAATGGAAAAGTAAGGAGACACTTAAAATATATCAGTGTGGCTGCATAAGGAGTTTACATATGAGCTGAGATATAAGAAGAGAATGCACAAGAAAGGGGAAATCATGATGGAAGAGTATACATGAGTAGTCAACAGCTCAGTGGAGAAGGTCAGGAGGGCCAAAGCTTGGATAAACTCAGACTTGCAAAAGAATAATTTTAAAGTTTATTTTCGGCTGTGTTTGAGGCAAGAGGAATAATAAGCAAATAGTAGGTCTCTTGCGTGGAGAAGACTGAGAAATGCTGTTGGGTGACAGAGAAGGGGGAACTTTTCAACACTTACTTTGCCTGTTTCACCCAGAAGGAAAGCAGTGCCCAACCTGGTGATTACAGAATAAATGGAAGGAGGGAGCTGCAGCCCAATGTCTACTCTACACAACGTCCAGATCAGGGATTTTGTTTGCAACAACTTTTAACACTGCATCATCACTCTGTGCAGCCACCAACAAAACCACCGTGCAACCGCAAGGCAATGCGTTGCATGTGAATATTTATTTGTTGTTGTCGTTTAGTCGTTTAGTTGTGTCCGACTCTTTGTGACTCCACGGACAAGAGCACGCCAGGCACTCCTGTCTTCCACTGCCTCCCGCAGTTTGGTCAAACTCATGCTGGTAGCTTCGAGAACACTGTCCAACCATCTCGTCCTCTGTCGTCCCCTTCTCCTTGTGCCCTCCATCTTTCCCAATATCAGGGTCTTTTCCAGGGAGTCTTCTCTTCTCATGAGGTGGCCAAAGTACAGTATTGGAGCCTCAGCTTCACGATCTGTCCTTCCAGTGAGCACTCACGGCTGATTTCCTTAAGAATGGATAGGTTTGATCTTCTTGCACTCCATGGGACTCTCAAGAGTCTCCTCCAGCACCATAATTCAATGGAGAAATCAAAACATTCCACCCCACCCCCCTTTGTAATGGTTATGTGTAATGGTTATCTGCAAAGGGGGATATCAGCAGGCAACTCTCTCCTTCGTGCTAAGGAAGCCTGCGTGGGCCGTGCTCCTCTCGCGCATCCCGCAAAGCATCTGGAAATGCAAGACCCCTCTCTCTCCGCAGGCGAATTCCGGACAAAGAAGCGGCTGCGTTTTCCTCGCCTGGCTTTCATTCAAGCAGACGGCTCTGGGGCGAGGAGGAGGACACGGCGGCGGGGCAGTCGAGCCGGGCGCCCCCCAGCGGCCATTCTCCGCCAGAGCCGGGAAAGCGGCGCCGCTGTCGAGGGGCGCAGAAGTTGGCTTCGCCCCTCGACTGTGCGGCGCGCTCCCTCCACCCCACCTCCCCTTTTCCTGCCTCCGTCCGCACGTGGCTGGTGGGGGGAGACCCCCTGCCTTCTCCGCCCACCCCTCTCCCTCTCCCCCTCCGCTTAGCCGGGCGGACGCTGCTGCGGGCTGCGCATTCCTGGCCGCCCCCCCGGGGAGGGAGCCGAGGCACTGAAAGGCTCGCTTATGCGCGGCGCAGACACTGCCCGATTCATCCGCGCCTCGCCTCTGCCTCCCGCTCGCTCGCTCCGCCAGCGCCATGAAGCTCCTGCCGCCTTCTCTGGTCGCCTTCGCGGCGCTGCTGCTGCTGCTGGGGGTGCTGTCGGCGAGCCCCCCGGCCGGCCTGGCCGAGACCCCCAAAGGCAAGCAGAAGGCGCTTCGCCAGAGGGAGGTGGTGGACGTGGTGAGTGCGCCGCGATCCCCGGAGGGCTGCGCAGGGTCTCGGGCTGGGCTGGGTCGTGGGTGGCATGGAGGCAAGCAGCAATCCCGAGAGGGCGCGCGCATTGCATGGGATGGGGGCAGAGGCGTGCCTTAGGCTCCCTTGCATCCTGGCCAAGGAGCTGGGCGCTCTGCCATTCCAAGCCAGAGTGGAGAGGCACCATTTTGGCGCCCACTGGGACCAAGGGTGTCAACTTGGAATAAAATATGGAGGGGGGCAGATAAGCCCCGCCCCACATAATTGATCACAAGATGCGTCACACACATCATTTGAATGGCCTTGTCCATCAACTTGGGGGGCGGCGGCTAGGAGTTGGCTCCTATGCCTGGGCCGGCCCCCTTGGGGGGGCAACCTTTCCAACCCCTAGGTACACCCCTCATGGAGACCTCCTGCTTAGCCCTCTTCTTGGCGTCCCACTTTCTGTCTTACTCATTTATATCCCACCATAAGAAGCAACAGCCTGGCTGGTATAGGTAAAGGGACCCCTGACTGTTAAGCCCAGTCTCGGACGACTCTGGGGTTGTGGCGCTCATCTTGCTTTACTGGCCGAGGGAGCCGGCGTTTGTCAGCAGACAGCTTCCGGGTCATGTGGCCAGCATGACTAAGCCGCTTCTGGTGGACCAGAGCAGTGCACAGTAATGCCATTTACCTTCCTGCCGGAGTGGTACCTATTTATCTACTTGCACTTTGAGGTGCTTTCGAACTGCTAGGTTGGTAGGAGCTGGGACCGAGCAACGGGAGCTCACCCCATTGCGGGGATTCGAACAGCCAACCTTCTGATCGGCAAGCCCTAGCCTTCTGATTGGCAAGCCACATCTTGGTGTGCCACTTCCCGTCTTACTCATTTCTATCCCACCATAAGAAGTAGCAGCCTGGCTAGATCAGGCTAAAATAGCCCAGCATCCTATTCTCCCGGTGGCCAGGTAGACGCCGACGGGGGGGGGGAGTCCAGGAGCACAGGGGACTGCAGTGTGATCTCCTCCAAATAACTCAAGGTTCTACCTTGCATTCTCCAGGTCACCCTCACAACAACCCTGCAAGGTAGGTTAGGTGGCTGACTGGCTCCAAGGCACTCAGTAAGCTTCTTGGCTGACTGGGGATTTGGTCTCCCAGGTCCTGGTTGATGGGTCTGACCTCTGCACCATGCTGGCAACAAACGATGTGTTAGAAGATACGAATAAGCCAAGCCCCCTATGTTTTCGAGCTGCTGAATAATATTAAGAAAACAAACCTGACAGACACAATACTGGAAAAGGAGAGGATGTGGGGAGGGAACAAACGCAGCTGGGCGGAAGATGCAGTCCGCATCCAGAATTCTACTAGTTTCTGAAAACTTGCAAAGATCCTTCTGAATGTTGAATGGCTCTAAAGCCACATTTAGATATGATGGTGCGCAATTAGAATAATTTACCAGTGCATGTGTTCCGTTTCTAATTTAAACTGGGTTGCCTGGGCATCACATCCAAAAGCACACAAGGCTTAATGTTGCTGACGTTAAGCAGTTCTGGGTTTGGCAAGAAAATAACAAATAGTGTGCAAGGGAGGCACCATCTAGCAGGGGCCATAGTGCAACAGGATGCTAATGTTGCATACATAATGTGATGCCAGGTTCAAACAACACTATGCAGATAAATCCTTATTGCTCACCTGGCATCATGTTTAAATAGAGCTTGACTGATGGAAAGTAATCTTAAAGTCTGTAGATCGGGTGGAATGGGAGCTGTGCTGTGCTCATTGTTACAACTTGAGATCTCAAGGGCTGTGTACCTAAACATGCAGATGTTTATTCCTCATCCAGTGTGCTTCCGCCTCTCATTTGGGAAGCGGTGTACACCTGATGCGATCTAGCCTGTTGTTTCTTATTAAATGCTGCATTTTGAAGCATTTCCCCCCAAACCAGCTTTGGCCTACCTGTGTGTTAAACTGGCAATGCATACAGCCTTTCTCTCTGCTAACGTAAAACCCACAGCTGCCTGCAGGGTTGCAAAAGAGACAGCTGTGTAATCTGCTGTGGTGGGACATTATGGCTGCAGAGGATGAGTAATCTGACTGATCTCCTCCGCTCTTTGTTATTACTCACTGAGCATGAATATTTAGGGAAATGGTTAGTGGGTTTCTTAAAACATTCTTCCTCACTCAAGCCATTCATTGCCACGTTGGACACAGAAGCAGAGCTGGCCTTGGTAGGCTGTGGCTGTACTCACCACATTTCTTTAAGTAATATGTCCATTGGGGAAAGCAATGCCTGGCTTATGTGTGTGTATGAGAGACAAGGCAGGGGAGAAAAATGGTTCCTTTGCAACAACAAAATGTAATAACCAATGTGGTTATTGGTTTACTGTTTCAAGCTCAAACAACTATGTATATATAACTATGTGTCTATAAAATGGGAATAATTTTGATTTTCAGTATAATGGGATGTGTTTGCAAGGACCTAATGGTGTTCCTGGAAGAGATGGAAACCCTGGTGTCAATGGAATTCCTGGAACACCTGGGATCCCGGGTCGAGATGGACTAAAAGGAGAAAAAGGAGAATGCATGAGAGAAAGCTTTGAGGAGTCTTGGACACCCAACTACAAACAGTGTTCATGGAGTGCTCTGAACTATGGCATAGACCTTGGAAAAATTGCAGTAAGCAAGTACCATTGCATTTATAATGTATATTACAGCAAAAGAGGTGGGTGAGGGTACAAAGATGTGGTGATAATTCTTTTCCTTATCGCTTTGGCTTCCTTATTCCTATCAGCTAGGGCCTACTGCAGTCAACAATCAGATGTCCACTTAAGGAGGACCACTGAGGCATCTCAAATGATTGATGAAAGATACTGTAAGCAAGCTCTGGTGTTAGAATTTAAATATAAATATCTAGAGCAGAGGACTGCTGGAGAAGGGATGCTATTTGGCTAACTCTGTAAGAAATAACCAGGAGTCCATTGCACTTTAAAGACTAACCAAATTATTATGGCATAAGCTTTTTTCAGGCAGCTGTCCCTTTAAGATAGTAACTATTTCTTTTTAAATGACAAGTCAATATATAATCAACCACTTAAACACACAACTTTTTCTTGTTTTGTAATAGGAGTGCACATTCACAAAGATGCGCAGCAACAGTGCTTTAAGAGTCCTCTTCACTGGATCACTTAGACTCAAATGCAGAAACGCTTGTTGCCAGAGATGGTATTTTACATTTAATGGAGCTGAATGCTCTGGGCCACTTCCCATCGAAGCTATAATTTATTTAGATCAAGGAAGTCCAGAATTAAATTCCACCATTAACATACACCGCACTTCTTCAGGTACGTATCAAGATAATTTTGTGAGACCAACAAGAATTTCACTGTAAAAATTCTGGGCACATGTGAGATGCAGATTGCATTACTTGTCTGGTTCCCTGTAGCAAATAAACACAATAATAAGGTAACAGGTACATCAGAGTTTTCCTTTCTGGTGATAAAGAACTAAGGTTTAGGATCAGACAAATGAGAATCAAACCTCCTCCAGGCTTAGACCAGCCCACCCGGTTATAAGCTAGAAAGTATAGAGATATAAACACTGGCCTGTGAGCACTCCATTTGGAGAACAGCCTTTACCAAAGGTGCCATGCGCTTTGAAATGTGCTAAGAGGAAGGCACGCTTGGCAAACCCTAACCATGCTCAGTTACGGCCCAGAAACCTATGTCCCCACTATGGAAGGATGTGTGGATCCAGAATTGGCCTCCACAATCATTAATGAACTCACTGTTAAAACTGTGTTTATGGAAGACAATCTTACTTGTCTATGAGTGATAGCCAAAAAAGAAAGTATAGAGATATAAATGCAGCTACTAGAGCCCAACTCTAGACACCACCTGGTAGCCCTGCATCTGGAAGGAAGGTAAACAGGAAAAGCCATTAATGTTGCCCCACAGCAAACTGCTAGTGATGGCTGATCCATTCAGCTTCTTGTAGGATGCTATAGCAGAAAAGCATTTGTTCTAGAATGCAAAGGTCAGAAACTAACCCAATTATTGTCCTTTAAATTTGCTCAGACACACAGAGTATGAGTAGACAACTGAACATTGTTAAAGTTTCCATTAAAATGAGAGCACCTCACAGAATATTGATTTTGTTTACTGACAGCTATCATTAGTTGATGGAGATGTTGTTTTTAACAAACAAAACCAAAACCTAAGCACGGGACCGTTTCTTCCCAAATCGCAATGAATGGTTCTCTTTTTTTATGTCTATAATATAAATTTTGTTAAGAATAACATGAAACAATACAAACAAATACTGGGTACTGGTCACCAGATACAAAGCAAAATATAGTCACGATATGTATAAGGCAGAAAATAACAGCATGTTAAGTAAAATAACCAAGCAAAAAAGATTTATGAGTTAGAAGGGGTCTTGATTCCTCCTGGTGACAGTTAATAAAAGAAATACACATGAACTACAGGAATCAGCATCAAAAGTGTCTCTTCTCTTTTTAAAGATGCCTGTCCTTTGGAACTCCCTGCCTATTAGTTGTACTGTTGCAAACATCCCCTAAAACTTTTTATAATTTCCATGCAATTCTGTGTGGACATACAAAGGTGTATCCAATGCTAGTCCTACACAGAGTAGAACCACTGAAAATAATGAACATGGTTCTTTTCTGAAAGTAACAGAGGGATGATGGGAGGTGAATCAAACAGTGCCTGGTGGGCACAGGTTCAGTCCCTCTATTTTGGGTGAAACCACTATGCTTTTTGTCTTTCATACAGTGGAAGGGCTATGTGAAGGGATCAGCGCTGGCCTGGTGGATATTGCTGTTTGGGTTGGTACTTGTTCCGATTACCCACCTGGAGATGCTTCCACTGGATGGAACTCAGTCTCTCGCATCATTATAGAAGAACTGCCAAAATAGAGCTCTCTCAAAGATTCTCTCCCCCCTTTGACCACTTATATTTCATACCTTACATATTAACTCCATGCTTTAAATCTATAGTTTTCTATGTTATCAAAGTACTTGACTATAACGCACAAGCTTGTTCTACAGAAAGTATCTGTAACCAATGGATTTCTTTTTTTTTAAGTATAGTTTATGGGTTTCTACACTTTCTGGATTTATGTACTACTTTTGTACAATTTGTAGACAATTCTTACATTTGTTAATAAAGACAATCTTTTAGAAGTAGCCAAATGAAAGGAACTTTAATTTTTGTTATCAAACAGAATTCACTGTGTTCCAGAAAGCCGCATCTAAAAAAACCATTGGCTTTTCATTTTTGTTTTATTCTGCTCATAAACTAGTTAAGTTATAATTACTTACCGAGATCCGAATAATGACAACCACCTGTTTTCAAATGACCCTCTGATCTACACATTCGTTTTATTGAGGTTTCCTCTTCTATTTGCATGTTAAAAATTCAGTTTCTCTTAGTAATGGCATGCAGAACTCTATGATCAATGGGTGATACCCAGTGTGAGTCATACTCAAAGTTGATCCATTAGAATAGTTAAGAGCCCATAGATTTTAATGAGTCTACTTAGAAAATGTCATTAGATGACCGCCAGCTAATGCAAACTATACTAAGCACTATGACCATAAACAAATGTTGACTCAATCATGCTTGACCTTTATTTCTATGAGTTTTAAGCTTGCAGCCCTATGCACACTTTCCTGGAATGCAAGTCTCATAAAAAATGCATATACAAGCACACATAGGCTTAATGGGGATGTCAGGCTTTTGGAAGCCCCAAGAAACCCTTGGAAGGTCCCTTAAAACAGGATCAAACTTCAGGACAGGATCTGGACAAAGTAGGTAAAACCAAATCTTGTTGATGAAAGGCAGAATTTATCTTCGGTACAAAAGAAGGGTCAGTCTATAAAACACTCTTTTTATGAAAAATGCAGTTTTAATAGAAAAGGGCATTCAACTTCAAGACCCGGCAAGCTGATATAAGTGCAACTAAGAGGGAAGAATCCAAAGAGGTGCAGACTTTTGTGGCTCCAAAAGAGGACGTCGTAAAGCGAAAAGGACCTTATGGAGATCTCAAGTTGGGGGGGGCACACATTAAAGTAGCCCCTTGAAGAAATCGTTTTGAGAAGAGGATGAGATCCAAACAACACCGAAGAATGAAGAGACACCGAGGAAGTGTCTGAGACTTATCTACGTAGGGTGTTTACTGTTGGCCTCATCTGAAACCCTCCTGAAGAAAGTCAAGCACATTCTTGCAGGAACATGTGCTCTTGGTAGTGCAGCAGTGGGCAAACGCTTTTCAAGTGTATTGGAAGATTCTTACATTGGATGGTCTGCAGGATGCTATGATGGTATCAATAATAGCTGAAGATAACCCAGATTTCTTTGGACTTTGCTGCTCAAGAACCACATCCACAGTTTCAACCACTCTGGATCCAGGTCAGGCCCTGGGGTTGATATAAACAGGTGAAGGTGTTCCAAAATCCACGGAAGGCAAGGCCAAAATAAAGCCACCAGAATCAACTGTGCTCTCTCATTCTGAGCAATAAGGGGAATTGGGAATGCATATATAAGCCTGCTCAGCCACAGGACCAAAAGAGCATCCACTGGAGCCAGAGACTGGAATTAAGCAGAGCAGCAGGGACCTTGCTGATTCTGAAATGTTTTGCCCAGAAGAGGCTGGGTAGGTTTGGCAAGGAGCAATATAGCAGCAGCAAGAAGACTGGTGAAATGGCTGTTGGATGGTGAATGATAGATTAAGGGGAGTCTGGAGTGGTGGCAAAAGCAACTGCTTCTCATTGCCCATCCAACAGCTTTCCAGCAGTGATGGGCCCTTCCACAGTGCTTTGTTGTAGGGTTCTGGTTGGTGGTGCCTGACCATGACAAGTTTTGATGCTGGGCCTGCATTAGATCAGGCTACACGCTTGAACTCTAACATTCTGTTTTTCAAAAGGTTACATGTATTCAGATATAAAATATAACATTCATACCAGCAATGCAACACAATAAATTTTTGCTTTAAAGACAACATAGTACTTTAGCACTTTCTCCACTTTGCAGTGTGCTGAGAGCCATATTATGCATTCAAAACTAACATGTTTTTCCAGTTCTATACTACGGAATCCAAAAGCTTCTCAATTACACTGATCCTTGCTAGTTGGAGAATAAAAGAATTTGAAAAGCTGAATTCATTGTGGATAAATACATGCACAATTTATTGGTGAGGTATCAGGTAGAGACTGATATGCAATAATCTGAAACATTGTTGGGGAATTTATTCCATCTAATATTTTTTACACCAAAGTCCCACCACTGTACATTAAGAGTCCACTGCTGTTCATATAGAGAGAACAATTCACTCCAGAACAAAATTTTAAAACCACATTTTGCATCTATTTTCTCATCCAGAATGTTCAGATGAGGCAATATTCCTGGCAAAGATTGAAGATTCAATAAAGAAAAGATTTATCTAGTAGAACAAAATGAGTTCTAGTTTCCATCTTCTGTGAGTACCAGAAAAATAAACCAGGCAGCTGTCTTGAATATCTGATTTGCTGCAGAGCCAAAAGGTGATGATGTCCTTTCCTGAAGCAATCACCAATATTTAGTCACCATTCTTCAGGTTAAGCAACAACTGGGATACTTTCTCATATATTACAAAGGTAATGCAGCATGCAGGAGTGACTCTGAGAACATTAGGTATAATTCCTTTGTAAAATCCATGAACTCCTTCTTTCCTAGGGAGAAGCAGAAAGAATTTACTTGCAACTTCCATACATATTTTATAGGCAAAAATCATCCAGCCTATTAACTTTAAATTACATTATTCTGATTTTATTGTTCTTATTTAATTATAATCAGGTTTACTCAATGAACTCAGTGGGGCTTAATCCCAGACAAATGTGCTTAGGATTGCTGCTTTAGTTTCTCTACTGCTTTCACAAACCCATTCATGCTTGTTTTGAACTTCTCTCAAATAATTATAAAGTCACCCAGCTGATATAACAGAGAGAGGAAAAGTTGAAAGCTTTATGTCTTTAAGAATGCCAAGTACATCAGTCAGTGGCGTAGCGTGGGGGGTGCAGGGGGGGCGGCCGCACCGGGCGCAACATCTGGGGTTAGGGCAAGTCCACGGGTTAGGGGGCGCAAATTACTTGCCTTGCCCCGGGTGCTGACAACCCACGCTACGCCACTGACATCAGTGATAACAAAGGAAGCCCTTTCACACCAGCTTTATATCTCCAGGCCTACCTCCATGTCCTACGGATGACATCGACCAATCCAGAGTATCTGTTGTGCTGATCCTGGAGACGTGCTCTCACAACCTGATAGGGATATGTAGTTGAAACTGCAAAAATTTTCGACAGTGCTGCCATTGTGATATATTCTAAAGTGCTCTAAAAAGAAAATGGTATCAATATTAGCTCCTAACAAATTCACTAAAAGAACAAAAATTCACATTTTACGCTGCTTATTTCTATCATTAAAGTATACAAGTGTTAATAGTACTAAGTTTAAATTCTAACTAGATACTTCCATTTCATAGGATGTCTTACCAATTTCAAATCCGATCGCCTGTTTCGATGTCTATTATATTTTGATTTCAATTCTTCATATGCCATGAATTGAAGTGCTCCATGTGATGTTCCGAACAGACCAGGTACAAAGCCCTGAACAGAGTTTTTCAGACAATTTAAAATGCAGTTTCATGTGAAAAGCTGAGCAACCTATGACACAAAATGTATATAAACAATGCAATATAACTTTACAGTTATAAGTTTATAATGTCAGAATGTGGATACTGGTTGAAATAGCCAAACACAAAAATATGCATGTAAGAGAAGAAAATATATGGGAACCAGTTTTTGAAAGAAAAAAATAAAACAGCTGAGCTTTAATCCTGGCAAGATGGAGGCACTGTGGGTGAGTAGTTCCTGTGCCTCAGAAATTAGTTAGTTGTCTACCCTGGATGGGGTTGCACTCTCCCTGAAGGAGCAGGTTCACAGTTTGGGGATACTTCTGGATCCAGCTCTGTCCCTGCAGGCCAGGTACTTTGTGACTAGAAGTATCTTTTATCAACTGCTACTGGTGCGACAGCTGCAGCAATTTCTAGACTAGAAAAGCCTTCCGACAGTAGTTCATGCATTGGTTACTTCAAGACTGGATCACTGCAATGCGCTTTATGTGCGGCTTCCCTCCAGCTTGAGCTGGAAGCTGCCGTTAGTGCAGAATGCTACAGCATGATTGCTGACAGGAGTGAGGCCTTGTCAGCATATAACACTTGTGCTCAGAGACCTGCACTGGCTGCTGATTTGCTACCAGGCCAGGCTCAAGGTGTTACTATTAGTAATCCAAAGCCCTTAATAACTTGGCACCAGTTTATCTACGAGATGGCTTCACCCTACATGTGCCACTCAAACACTTTGATCAACGGAATTGGCACTACTACAGGTGCCACATAATAGTCATTGTAAGAACTCAGTATTTTAGTGTGGCAACACCTACTTTGGAATTTCCTGGCTATTGGTAACAAGCAGGAGCCTTCACTGGACTCTTTTCAGTGCCTGCTAAAAACATTCTTCTTTAGATAAACCTACCCAGATGCTTAAAAAGTTGAGGTAATTTTAGTGTTTTGATTTTTTTAACTTTTGTATGTTTTTAAGTATGGTTGTAAATTATTCTTAATTTTATTGCCTTATCTTTTTGTAAACCTCTCTGAGGATTATTTTTTTTACAATCAAGCCATGAATTTTTTTAATAAAATAATAAATGTAGGAAATTAAGGACTACTATCTCAAAGCCTGTGATCGCTTAACCTGTCTATTGTTATTGTGATAGTTATTGTGTGCCTTGAGTATCTTATACATATTTACATAGCCTTTTTTTTTTTACACACACTATAAATACTTTATTGTAATTCAACTTTTAACTTCTCAAAAATCCTTCCAGGTCAATGGCTAGGAGATCTAAGAAAGAACAACGATTTCCACCCGCAGAGGGAGAAGGCCCAGGCAGGTAATAGGCTGCTGCTCCCACCTGTTCAGTTCAGAAAGTGCAGAAAGGGGGCATTTTGAGGAGGGGGGGGTTGCTAACTGGATCCAAAGCCCCATGGAGGGGCCTCATTCCTGGGTCTCTTGGAGTTTTGTTTTTTACTATGTAGTTCCAGTTAGGTGATGTCTGTGGACCAGTCGTCTGTGGTCAGGAAGCACCTCATCCTCTAAAGACAGTCCACTGATCTAGCAAGACGGTAGGGCTCCCGGTTCTCGCAGATCAGAAGCCCCTCGTTTCGCAGCATCATGAACTGACAAAATCTACTTTCCATTCAGTCTACTCACAAGTATGCCTTTTCCTGCTACCTATCCATTTCTACCTACTGGTTCTGTCACTACAGAACAGAATTATCCATTAACTCAGGCATACTGGCCCAAATGCTAATCCTGACTCGGTTTAGACTGAACTCCTCACAACATTTTCCACTATCTCAAGTATGGCTCTGTGACAAGAGAACTGAAAATGCTAAAGAGGCAGAGGGAGGATAATGATGATGATAATAAAGCCCACTGGCAAACTTATTGCAGTGAAACTCATGTAATAACCATTCACTGATTTTGGACACAGTGGTAAAATACTGTCATACCCATATCAAATACCAGAAGTCCTGGCTTTGACTTATCTTACCTTATATAGGCCACGTACACCTTCATACTTGTATATTTTGATAAGGGCATCAAGCATCCCTTTGTACTGCCTCTTTGATGGGTCAACACCAGCTTCGTACTGCAACACAAGACGAGTCTTCGTTACCCAGATTGGGTTTGTAATGCACAGAGTCATTGCTCCTATGATCAGATGGAGAGCCGACAGTTATTTTAATGTCAACACTTTAGCATTGTGCAAAAACAGCATTTCAACAACATCCCCTCAACACATGGGCACTACACACACCTGGCAATTTCTAATGCCAATGAAGTTTTACGCTGGCATTTAACATTCCAGGTTGATTTAGCAGTTGTTCTGCACTTACCAAGAACAGTGGATAAAAAGTATATGCTGCTAAAGAAATGGACCAATAGTACAGGGTATTTGCACAGTGTGCACTCTACCAAATGCTTTCATTTGACTCCCTATATCATGGGTTACCAACACAGCACCCACTGAAACACATGAGCCTGTAGACATCTTGCTTGGTGCCTGTAAGATTCCCTTGCTGAAATTAGGGTTGAAAGAAGTCTGCTACTGTAGCCATGGAATAATTTTTAAAAGCCCAACTCCAGCACTAAGAGCTTTTGGGTGTGGGTGGGTTTACAGTTGGCTAAAACAGAAGACTGCTTGCAAACCTAATTATAACATAGGAGGAACAATTTGGATGGGGTGGAATAAGGGTCAACTCTTCCCTTTCCAGCTGCATCCTAAGTGCTCTGGAATCACCCTAGGTGTTGTGGAGGGGAGTTACCTTCCTGGAGACTGCAGGTTAACTCTTGCCTCCCCAGCTGTATGCCCCCCCCATACACACACATACTCCATTAGGCTTTTAAAAAAGCAAAAACACTTTTTAAAGCCTGTCTAACAGGAGGCAGAGAGTGTGTGTTTGTGAAGACAGTTCCCATGCACTCATGTGTGCATGGTTGCAGTACATGCTGCCCAATATTTTGCCAATGTGCCCACAGCTTTAAAGAAGTTGCCAACCTCTTCCCTAGATATTGATCAACAACAACAACAAAATACAGTATCTGGAAAAGCTGAAAGTATTCGCTAATCCCACTTTTATTTTCCTCACCTGCCTCAGCAGCTGACACTAAGTGTTCAGTTGGTCCAAGACTTTCCAGCTTATCCTCTGTCTTGTAGGCTTTAATGGCATTATAGCTGCAGAGTGAAATGTTGGGATAAGGTTAAAGCTGATTAGTTGTTTTACCAATATGTGAAATACATTCTGCATATCAACACACAAAGAAACCCATAAACATTTGAACTAACAAAAATGACACATGCTTATCAACAATGTATATAAAATGTGTAGGCTAGAAGCATGTACTTTGCAAGCCCATGGGCACACATCAGTAAGTAGAAGCCTCTTCCCCATTCTTCTTTGAACAGCAGGTGTTATGTATGCCATATCAGAAACTGCTTTTAAAACTTTCCAAGAGGGCTAGAGTCCAAAGTCCCATGGATATATGAAACTAGAAGTTTGGTTATTTGGAATCCAATCATAGTATTCTATACATAAATAATTATTACTTCGAGGGTTTTTTAAAAAATGAGCTTTACAACTATAATTGAAATATAAAACATTTTGTATTTGTATGTATGTATGTATTTGTATGCTTGTTTGTATGTATTTGTATGTTGATGTAAATACTGTAAAAGGTTTACAAAGGTTGTGAAAGAAAAAGCTATATCTGTAAGTAATTACACTGCTTCCCCCTCCTTGCTAACAGCTCATATTCAGTTAATACTAGAATTCAATGGTGACTAAGAGATTGCTCATTTTGCTACTGGACCTGTAAAAACCTGCAAACATGCTGATAAAGAAGCAATATTCCAAAGTTTCAAATATTAATGTAGCCTTTATTATACCAAACTTCTATACTATAAACAATAGCGCGCGCACACACACACACACACACACACACACCAGACAATAACCTCATGGCCTCTAGGTGTGATTGTAATAAGATTTGGCTGTGGCTGGCGAACAGTAATCCAGAGCAACAGAAGTCACACAAGTAAAAGCTGTTGATAATTAGAAGATTAGCTCAGTGCAATCTTCAGACTTGACCCTAGGCCCAGCGAACTTAACAGCAGATGCCCCGCTTCCCTCACTATTAACTGTAGGGATAAGATACTTATGACATAGTGTGCACTACTTCATTTCATTCAATTAGGGTTAAATTAAAATGCCACACTGGTATTCCTTGTCCCAGCTAAATTTACATTGCTTGCTCTCCCAGTCTAGCTCAAAAACTCTCAAGTGAAGTGCAGCCTCTGGTACAAAGGTCCTTCAAGATTAGCCTTTAAAATATTCAGTATTAGTCTTTCAAATATTGACCAGAACAATGGAAAGTAGTTTAAACTCACAAGAAAAAGTAGAGGCCCCAAGAGGCACCTGCTCCCCACATGTTTGGCGTGACCCCTTGATACAAGCCACGTAAACCTTCATGCTTCCAGACGGTTGTCAGGCAGTGCAGGATACCATTGTATTTCGGTCTCAGCTCCAAGCCATCACTCACTGCACAAAAAACAACGGGAGATTAGTCTGAAGAAAGTGCATTTCAGAATGAGCTAAGTGAACAACACAGTATGCAAAAGTGAGGCACTGCAAGAAGATCTTTTGTGAGTGAAAAAGTTAGTTAGCTATACACGCTGCACTTGCTACGAATACAGTGGTACCTCTGGTTGCGAACGGGATCCGTTCTGGTGGCCCGTTCGCAACCTGAAAAGAATGCAACCCGCGTCTGTGCATGCGCAGGTTGCGATTCGCCTCTTCTGCGCATGCGTGTGGCGTCATTTTGCACGTCTGCGCATGTGCGAGCGGTGAAACCCGGAAGTAACTATTTCCAGTACTTCTGGGTCGCCGCGGGACGCAACCTGAAAACACGCAACCTGAAGCAAACGTAACATGAGGTATGACTGTATGGCGAATCCAATGACTTACAGTGGTACCCCGCAAGACGAACGCCTCGCAAGACGGAAAACCCGCTAGACGAAAGGGTTTTCCGTTTTGGAGGCGCTTCGCAAAACGAATTTCCCTATGGGCTTGCTTCGCCGCCCGCCAGCATTTTAAGATTGCCCCGGACAGCGGAGAAGTCCTCCGCTGTCCCGGGGTTTTTTAAAATGCTGGGGGTGGGAAGAAAAGCCCTTGTCCGTCCCCCCCAGCCTTCAGAAGAGGTCGGGGGACAGACTGTCCCCGGACCTGGTCTGAAGGCGGTTTCCCTAGGAACGCATTAATTGATTTTCAATGCATTCCTATGGGAAACCGTGCATCGCAAGACGAAAAACTCGCAAGAAGAAAAACTTGCGGAACGAATTAATTTCGTCTTGCGAGGCACCACTGTATTGTTATGATTTCCATGTGGGTTGGAAATGGAATGACACACTTGAAAAGCGGACACTCTGCCCTAATTCACTTAATGGGAATATCTGAAGAGGGATTCCACGTGTGCTCTGCTGAGTGCCCTTAAAAGCCTCCTCGCTGGCAGAGTTGGATCATCCCCGGCAATTTCTGTTTTAAACTACGCTAATTATTTCTATAAATTACTTGTTACGCGTATTGTACAAACTAGCACGTGCAAATCGATGCCCTCTATTGGCGGGAAACGGAGCTGCCACGTCGCGCCGGGAGGAATGGTGGGGGAGGGTCCCTGGCCGTCGGGCCGGCCGATGACGTCACGGACGGTGGGGGTCGTGACCGTTGGTACGGCCGGTGACGTCAGCGACCATCGGTGCGGCGCAGGGAAGGAGGGCGGGAAGGAAGACGGAGCGCCTCACCTGCGAAGCGGATCTTCACCAGGTCCAGCGGGTGCAGCACCAGCGTGGAGATGACGCCGCCGCTCAGCCCGGCTACCAGGTTCTCGAAATGCACGTGCCTGAAGAGAGACCGCGCTGGTGGGGCCGAACTCGTCGTCGTCGTCGACGCAGACCCCGCCACGGTGCATGCTCGGCTCTGCGCGCCTGGGATGGCGGCAGCGGGATTCATGGGAAAACTCCTAGGATATCTTTCGAATTAATAACAATTGCAATAAATAATAATACCCCTACGCAGACCTTAGCCGGTAACGTGAGTCGGCTGAGGTAAACTGCCCTTTGACCTGCGAGGCACTTGCTTCGTCCTATAGGGGAGCAGCAGCCGGTCCCTCCCCCTGGGCTGCTCCAATCGGACGGCCGTGCCTCTCTCGGTGGGCGGGTTTAGTGCCTTAGCCCGCCCTTGCTCACGTGACCAGGGAGCCGCCGGTTCCTATTTCATCCGCCCGTTAGTAGAAGCTCGTGCCCCCAGTGGCTCGACCCGGAAGTGGTTCCTGGCTTTGCTTGGTTTCTGCCTGGTCCATGTGGGCTGCCGGAGGGTAGCGGGGAGCACCGTTTCTTCCGCCATCGCCATCCCGACGCCCTCAGTCGCAGACGATGAAGGTGAAGGTGTTGAGCCGGAATCCGGATGATTACGTGCGGGAAACCAAGCAGGACCTTCAGCGAGGTGAGAAGGGGAGTTATTCGAAAGGGCGGCCGGGGTTGTGTTGAGCGTCGATTCTTAGGAAGCGAAGTTTGGTTCCTTTTGCGATGCCGGAGTGGCTTCCAACACCTGAAGGCGACTCCCGAGTCAGGCTGAGTTTCCTTTTCTCTTTTTTGCATCGTGCGCCTCTTCAGGCTGGGAGAGATCTCAGAGTTGTTCTGCACATGGCATCTTCCAGAGAGTCATGGGAACTGTAGCTTGTCCAGGGTGTTGGGACTTGTAGCGACAAACTGCGGTTCCTATTCTTTTCTTTCTTCCTTTTTCTTGGGGTGGGGGAAGGGGGGGTTCTGTACTTTTAAAGTATGGTTTGTACATAGCTTTGCACTGTGCCCATTATCCAAAAACCACGACCGAAATTGGGGAGGGAATTCTTTTATACGTGTGAAGTAAAATTTGGTGAAGAAAATCTATGGAGCACTGAGCACAGGGGTCTTTCCTCTCCCTCCCCTTCCTGTGATTTGGGTTGCATCTCGCTTTGCAGTGATAAGGCAGGTGTCATCTGCCCAGGTTGCTGGCACAATCTGGGGCTTGTGTGACATTATGGTCAATTCTAATCTCATTGCGCAGAGCACTTGGATTATTGCAATGCGTTCTGTGTGGGGCTACCCTCCAAGACTTAAAACTGCGACTAGTGATGCTGCAGCCTGATAATTAACCAGGACAGCTAGATGTAAACATGAAACACCAATCCTAAACGCAGTGCACTTGACTGCTTATGTACTACCAGGCTCAACAACATCCTGGTAATGGCCTATGAGGCCTACATAGTTCAGGGCTCTAGTCATAGTTCAGGGCAGGAGTGCCTCTTTCAGTACCAGTCAATTTGATCCTTAAGATCAGTGCCGGGGATGGACGGACGGACACCCTTTTCATGGACCTCCGAAGGGCCTTCTCTAGTGGCATGCTGACTTTGGAAAGCCCTCAGCTTGAAGATCTGTTTGTCCCCCTCCTTGCTTTACATAAATAGTTGTCCGTTAAATACATTTTTGTCTGGTTTTCCTGAATTGAAGTTACTTTGTTTTAATACTTCAGAGCTGCAGATGATTTTTTGGTGTGTTATAATGGTTCTCAGGTTTCTGGATATTTTGTATGTTGGTTATTATGTTTTATATATGATACGTGTCTTATGTTTTATATGTTATTGTATATTACTCTAGGTACTCTTGGGAGGAATGGTGATTTAGAAATGTAACTAACAAAAAGAAATAAGAAATTTGCTGAAACATTGGATATAATTCATGAATGTGTTCTACATTCTCTGAGCAGTGTTGTTGTTTGCCTGATCACCAGTTTATTGAAATCTCAATTTACTACATTAAATAGATTGTGTATGTAGTGACTGATACAAACATATATTTTTAAAAATATATATTTGAGAGTTGATGAACAATGTATGTTCATTTAAACAGGATTCTTAATTTACTCAAAGCTAGTAAGGCTGATCTTATTAACTAGTAAGGGTGTCTTATTAACTAGCTACATAAAAGGCCAAAGGAAGCTTTATGACAGTAATCTTCTCTGTTGTTTTGTATGTTCGTATGATTATTTGGTTTATAGTTCCACGGAATTATGATCCTGCATTACATCCCTTTGAGGTTCCACGGGAATATACTCGGGCACTAAATGCAACAAAATTAGACCGTGTTTTTGCAAAGCCTTTTGTTGCATCATTAGATGGCCACAGGGATGGTGTTAACTGCATGGCTAAGCATCCAAACAGCTTGTCTACAGTTTTGTCTGGAGCATGTGATGGAGAGGTATGTATAATTGGATAAAAACAACAACCGTAAAGTGTCAGATCATGTTTTTACTGTGGTTATTTAATTCTGCAAGAAATAGAACCTTGCATTTCAGTTATGTGTGTGCCTATAACTATGAGCAAGACTGCACTCTCAGTTTTAGTGCTTAGGTGCTATGCCCTGGAAAAAGGCCTATTTAGTGGAAACAAGCTATATTGGATTAAGGATACAGTACTTCAACTATTGCTCTTGTTTCCTAGTGTATGTTCTCCTTTCCTCTTGAGACAAGGTATTTGGGGAGAAGAGTAGGATGGAAACCTGTGACTTCAGGAAGTAATAATCCAATCATAGCATGAGGGATTGGATAACAGTAACTGGGTTGGTTTCAGTTGGTGTTGCCTGTGGATATAGCCATGGAAGGTGCCTAGTCCTGCAATCCTGTATACAGGTACTAGGAAGTAAATCCCACTGACCTCCATTGGGACCTGTCCAAAAGCTAAATTATAACATTAAGTCTTAAAAACTGAACCACCAATTAAAAGCTACCAGTTTAATGCAAGTCATTTAAAGCTCCTCTGGCAAAATGCTCTGTTTTATTTGTCTGGTTTCTATCCACAATTTTTAAAAATGATTTTTTAAATTAATTTTCACAATTAAACATTATCATCACACAAGTAAAAAAGAGAATATAAACAAAAAAGAAGATAATAAAAAATAGGAAAATGAAAATAAAACATTTTCACACCATAATAAATTCATAATTCAGGATTACTTAAATCCCTCGACTTCCCCCCACTCCCTTCCCTGGTTCTCTTGTATTTTCTTAATTTATACATGTCAGTAATTTCTAGTTTCTATCCACAATTGAGCAACTTCCTATATTTTGCTGACTGAAATATTGAAATAATGTTATAGCAGGATCACCAATTTTACTTATTCAGTCGGAGCTTAATGCAAGTTGCCAACAAATAAGAAGAAAGGGGGCTGGAAACCCTTGCTTACTGGGCTCTGGATGCTCTCGCGAGATCATTTGGAATCATCCAAGATCTCATGGGAGCCTCCAGAGTCCTCATGTGACTGTCCCAGAGCCCAGCAAGCAAGGTGGAGGGCTCAAAAGCTATTTCCGTAAAGGGTTTACTGGACTCTGGAGACTCACTCAATATACTGTGGGGCCATCTGAGATGTCGGGTGGCTGGGGCAGTTCTGGGGCTCATTCTGACTTTGTATGATTTTACCTTTACATGCAACTCCCAGGAATACAACCTTCACATAAGTTGTGATCACACTGTCCTGATCTCTAGATTTCAAAAGGGCATCACACCATTTTGTAATATTGTTTCAAAAAACAGTATTAAGGCTGAATTGTTCAATAACAACATGCTGCTGTTTGTTTCCAATAGGTTAGAATTTGGAACTTGATGAAGCGTGAATGCACCCGTACATTGCAGGCACATGAGGGCTTTGTGAGAGGAATGTGTACCCGTTTCTGTGGTACTTCTTTCTTCACTGTAAGTAGAATAGTGGGAATTATGGGAAAAGATTCAAATGCTTGGTATACTTCTTTTTCTTTGTTACTTTCCCCCATTCTGCATTCTGTTTTCTAAATAATAGACTCAAGTACTTTTATTTTATGACTCTCACTTACTACTACAGCAGCTTATTTTTTATCTAGTTCAGGGGCAGGGAATCTCAGGCTTGGGGGAGCGGGTCAAATGCAGCCTTCCAGCCTTCTTTCACTGACCCTTGGGTCTCTCCCCACTCTCCTTAAGTGCTTTTGCCTGGTTGAAATCTCTTTGAACTGCAATAAAGCTTTTGCCTGTCTGGAGGTAGAAGTGTTTTCGTAGAAACCTCTTGACTTTTGTGTGGGTGGAATGCAACCTCTTGTACAAAGGTGAGAGTTATTATGCCCATTTTTGCCTCTGACTTTACCCAAAAAGTTGAGCATGAGGGAATGTGATCCTGCAGACAGAAGAAGGTTTCCCACCTCTTTAGGTTTTACTCTTCCATACTAATGCTACTTTCTTGGAGCATAAAGCAAGCCCAGGGGTAAGCCAATTCTTCAAACCACTCCTGCTATTTCAGAAATCTGTTGCTTTCTATGAGTTTGAAGAGCAGGCACGATGTTCAAACAAATGTGTTCTCTGTTCGAAAAAGCTATAGATTTACATATCCTCTTATTTAAATATCCTCTGTCACTATTGTAAGTCCAGTCACTCAGTACAGGTAATTCTTTTGCCTCTAGCAAACAGTTCAGTAAAGTAATGGAGTCCTTGCACTGCACTTCAGCATAGTTAAATACAATCCCTCTTTAGTACAAACACCTATCTGTTGATGACTATTGTGAGACTTAAAATAATTTTATGGGTATTTTTTAATACCTGTTGTGCAGCCTAATCCAATTTGTATTTAGACAAAAGTAAGTCCCACTGGAGTACTTGCATTGGCTTTCAGTCTTGGGATAGATGTGCGGGAATATTTGCAACACTGTTAGAGCTAATAACTCTTTTTCATTTACTTTTTCATTTACTTGCAGTGTTCACTATGTTCACTATGTTATTCACAGAAATACAGTTGCTTTTATAGCCCTTTTCCATAGAACTTTAAACATGTTTAGGCATGCAGCTGGAAGAACAATAGATTTGTCACTCACAATCAGTGAGTGAGGTCCCAAATAAGGAGATCTGGCAATTAAAAATGACGAAATATGCAGAGTTAGCGGGTCTAACAAGTAAAATAAGAGAACAAGAAAATCAAGTATATAAAGAGGAATGGAAAAATTTGTGGAGTATTTGGATGCAACTGTAAACATGTGCAAACGTTAGTAGGATTAAGGTAAATTCAACAATATAACACAAAACAAAGGAATAATAAAGAAATAAGGGAGCTAAATGGATATACAAGAATAGGTGGGATGGATGGGAAAATTAAAGGAACCAGGGAAGGGGAAGTTGTCATATATGGTGTGTGTGTGTGTGTGTGTGTGTATATATATATATATATATATGTGAGAAATTTGTCATTCAGTCTGGAAGAAATGCAATCTGGCACCATGTTTATCATCACTTTTAATTTGTATACTGTACCTTCTTTCTATTTTACAATACCCAAGGTGGTTTGCAGGTTGAAGAAACAGAGAATGTACACCTTATAACAATCTAATCCAAGACAAAAATGTGATAATAAAACATAACTTGAAAATAAGCAACCTATATCAAATAAAGTAATATTCAACAATCCAGTAGAATAGTATAGAATAATATTAAATATCACCATATAAAAATTAAACAGAAATTCACTCTTAACAATTATAATAAATAATTTCTAAACTATAATCAATAAAACAATGGCAAATCACAGTGCATAAAATAATACAATACAAATTGAGAAGCAGAGATTGGAGGGTGGGGCAAGGCAGGTGGAAGAAGGCCTTGCCCGATGAAGTCTCTCCCCTCACAGTTCTTCCTCCAGGAAGTAAATTTAAGATTGACTATGCACACTTGTTACTTTCACATAAACATCAGAAGGACTGAGTTGTAACTCTCTTACTATGAATACAGTGGTGCCCCGCAAGACGAACGCCTTGCAAGATGGAAAACCCGCTAGACGAAAGGGTTTCCGTTTGGAGGCACTTCAAATTTCCCTATGGGGTTGCTTCGCAAGACGAAAAAATCTTGCACGTCCCCACGGGTTTTTTTCGCTCCCCCCCTTTTCCTAAGCCGCTAAGCCGCCTATCAGCTGTTCCGCTGATAACCCGCTTAACAGCTGATCACTGAAAGCCGCTAGACCGCTGTAGCGCTAATCCGCTAAGCTGTCAATGGGCTTGCTTCGCAAGACGAAAAAACCGCTAGACGAAGAGAATCGCGGAACGGATTCTTTTCGTCTTGCGAGGCACCACTGTACAATGTTTTCTCCAAAATCATTAGGTTGGTGATGATAAAACCGTGAAGCACTGGAAAATGGAGGCGCCAGCTTATGGGGAAGCAGAAGAACCGCTAAATACGATTCTTGGAAAGGTATTACTTTATTCATTGTCTTGTTTTGCTCTCCCTTTCCTTCTATGTTTAAAGATTCAGATGAAGGTATTGTTTTACTTAAATATGAGCAGAAAACTATTGACCTTGGATCTGTAGTGTCAAAGATGATGTAGGTGTCACTGAATGCTGTTATTGGACAATATTCCCATAAGCTGAGTGCCCTTGCAATGCTGGTACAAAGCCTCTGTGTGAGTTAGTTTATTAGATTTTTATACTGGCCTTCAACAAAAATGGTCATGGGTTGATTTGCAAAAAAAGAGAAAAGAAGCATAATACATCATAACCAAATCATTAAAATAATTATCAAAAATTACATAATTGGCATAAAATACCAGAAATGTGAGTTAACCCATCAGCCACTAAAAATTCAGCAGGAAGATGGGTTTTTAACCCATTATCTGGAAGAATATTAAGGGTGAGATTTAGATCAGGCACGGAACGACTGCTGAAAAGGCTGCAGGAAGAATCAGATTGTAATTTCCTGCCATACCTCTTGTGTATTTGTGTGCTGGTGCAGTAAGTTGTAGAATTCAGCTGCATATATTCATGCTAGTGATAATTAACCCCATTTCCTTAAAGTTCAGCAAATAGGTGTGATATTTCCGTAATAAACATTTCTGGATAGTGGATTAAGCTACCATTTAGCTTTTAAAAAATAGGTCCACTCGGGTATAGTGACTTGCTATCCTGTTGCCTCTGGTGGGATTTTATTTGAAAATGTGATAAAAAAAACTTGTGCACACAACTGGGGAAAAAATGGTTGCAACTTTTGAAGTATTTGTAGAGCTGTACCCATGGTTAACTGTATGGTACTGTTCTTCCTAATCAAAGTTACTGGAAATGACTAGCAAAATGTCTGAATAAATAAAACAGACAATTGAGACCTTAAGGGTCCCTCATGAGACTGGGTTTCCTTACCGAGATTGCTGCTGTCTCTTGTACCTTCTGGCACTAGATGCAAGAGGGTGATGAGGCAAGGGTGTTTACAAGCCTCCACCCTGACTTCAGATGTTCCAGCTGCTACTCCGCTGCTGAATTTCTGGGTCACAGGAGGTTTCAGAAGAAATAAATCCTGTTCAGCAGTGGTTGCTGAAGCAGGACTCCCTTACTCTGACTGTTTTAGATGTCTCTTGCGGTTCCTGGCATTGACACTAAGCACGAAACCCTCCGAGTATAAAACCAGCAATTCATTGTTGGTACTGTTTTTTATATTTGCATTTTAAAGACTGTGTACACTGGAATTGATCACCATTGGAAGGATCCTGTTTTTGCTACTTGTGGTCATCAAGTTGATATCTGGGATGAACAGAGAACCAGTCCTTTATGCTCTTTGACGTGGGGAGTCGATAGCATAAGCAGTGTCAAATTCAATCCAATTGAGGTAACAACTTATTTATATATATTGCACTGTAAGGACTGTCACTAAATGTTTTAGTGCCAGCAACATAGTCAGCGTCGCTGTATAAAATGCAGTTGTATATCCTTTCAGAGGAGTTGGAGGATAACTTGGGTAATTAAAGGTAAAGGAAGATATGAGTGAGGAGGGTGAAAAGACCACAGAAATCACAGGCGATGGCAGACCTTCTTGTCTGTGCTTGTTGCAAGTCGATTTTGAGGAGGGATTTTGGAAGGGGAGAAATGGCTTGATGGACAGTGAGGAGGTGGGGGTAGATGTTCACAGAAAAGGCAGTTGCAAAGGGAGCAGAACACAGTCTTGGGTGAAAAGGTAGAGATGTTTAAAACTAAAAGTATTAGATTTCCCAGTTGTAAAGTAAGATGGGGTCATTAACCCTAAAAAGAGCATCTGTTAACTATACATATCCAAGGATTGCACTCATTGCATACACTGAGCAGTTTTAAGAGTTCCCCTGTCATTCCTTCCACCCACTCAGACTACTTTTAGATTCTCCTAGGTTTTAAAATCAGTTTAAAAGCATGAGATCTGGGAAATGTCTTGAGCTTTATCCCCTCCACATTATCTTCTTCTTTTTTAGCAACAGTAGATTAAATAAGATAGCTTATGTACTGCGGCTGAAAATTACACTGTTTAAAAGATAGGGCTGCTGGTTTAAACAAGTCCTGTATATGTTATACCTTTTTCAGTTAGCACTTAACAATTTTGTTTAAGAATTTTTTTTGTTTTTTGCTTGACGATATTTACATTACTTGATATGCAACTGATTTTTCAGATGTACCTTTTGGGAAGCTGTGCTTCAGACAGGAATATTGTGCTATATGACATGAGACAATCAACGGCATTGAAGAAGGTAATGCATAATCTTTAAGATCCTGTGACTGAAGTGTCTGTGTATGCATTCCCTGCACATGCCTTTTCATTTTGGAAGGGAAATTATCTTTTAAGTTCCACTGCTAAGGAGCTCCATAATTTTCACATTCTCGGTTGGGTGCAAGATTCTTTTAGCATAGAATTCTTTGTCATGTAGCAGATAGAAAGCGTAGCTTTTCTGAGATCACTTTAGGCCAGCATTGAGAAGCCTTTGCCCACAAGGCTGTTTCCCCCCCACATCACACCCAAATAAGGTGCAAATAAGGCAGATAAATATTTGACTACAAAGGAACAGTTGGCAGCCTTGAAATGTGCTCCCTAATTTTTCTTGGCAAGCAGGGATTTCCTTTAGATAAACAGGACTTTTCTAGCTGGATAAATGGGTCTTTACCACAAGTCTCTACTTGCTAGGGATTTAGTCTTGTTTTAAAAGTATTTGTTGTTTTTGTGTTTTTTAAGTGTTTTAAATTTTATGTAAATTGCCTTGAGGTGGTGGTTTAAAAGGCGATTAATAATTTAATGATAGTGCAAATAATAATAATAATGATAATAATGTGGTGCATTTTATATTTGACACTGGGATTGGTTCCACTGGGGAGCTCCCACACACAACCAATCCCTGCAGAAAGCGGGGTTTGCAGTCATTGCTGATCAACTGATTTGTACTGATGGCAACCCCTACAGTGTTTGGCTGCGCTCCAGAGCTGCCTATTGGGAAGCTCCGACTGCATCTTATCCCTGTTGAAAGCAGAGGATCAACTAAAGAGATCTTTCATAGTAAGCTGGCCTGAGTTCAAGCTGGTCTACTTTCAACTGATGCCATGGTGATGTCAGGTGATGGATGGGTGAGCCCACACCTATCAAAAGTGGCCTGTGCAGGGGGGGCGGGGTAGAGGAACACCTGTTGGGCTGTATCCAGTTCCCCACCCCTGCTTTAGACTCCTGTAGGGAGATAGTGGAGGTATGAAGAATGCTTTGAACACAATACCTACCCTTGGAACTCTTTGCCTGTTGAGATAAAGCAGGCACCTTCACTGCACTCTTTTTGACGCCTGCTAAATACATTCTTGTTTAGACAATCCTACCCAGAAGCTTAGGGACGCGGGTGGCGCTGTGGGTTCAACCACAGAGCCTAGCACTTGCCGATCAGAAGGTCGGCAGTTCAAATCCCCGTGACGGGGTGAGCTCCCATTGCTTGGTCCCTGCTCCTGCCAACCTAGCAGTTCGAAAGCATGTCAAAGTGCAAGTAGATAAATAGGTTTACCTCCGGCGGGAAGGTAAACTGTGTTTCTGTGCGCTGCTCTGGTTTGCCAGAAGCAGCTTAGTCATTCTGGCCACATGACCCGGAAGCTGTACGCCGGCTCCCTCGGCCAATAAAGCGAGATGAGCGCTGCAACCCCAGAGTCGGTCATGACTGGACCTAATGGTCAGGGGTCCCTTTACCTTTACCCAGAAGCTTAGAAAGTTGAGGTCATTATAATCTGTTTTAGTATCATAACTTCTGTATTTTTAAAAAAGTTTTTAAGTATTGCTGTATATGTTTTTTGATTTTATTGTTTTACCTTTTTATACACCACTTTGAGGTTTTTATAATCAGGTGGGGTGTGTGTGTGGGTGTACACACATTAAAATAGTGTGGATTTGGAAAAGGACAGTACCATGGGCAGCTCTCCATACCCTTATGCGTCATACTTCCTTATACTAATTTCTGTTTCTCTTGGGTTGTGAGTCAGCAAGCTGGAGTCTGACTTTTTTTTAACCTGTGTAAAACACTTAGGCTCTCTTTTTCCGAAATGACATTGCTGTGGAAATGGAACATTTCAATACACAACATTGTCTGTGGATTAGAATAGATCATACAACACAACTGAAATTTTGTTTGTGTGGTTCAGTTCTTGGTGTGGTTTGTTCAGTTATTTGGTAAATAAATGGTACAAGATCATGCTATGCAAATAGTTTCCCCACCGAAAAGGAGATATTCGAAGCCTCTTCAAGGTTCAGTAAAGGTGAAAGGTATTCACTGACTGAGGATAACAAACTTCCTTCTTTGGCTTACAATATCTCCCAGCTGTCGCTACTATTGCCTTTTAGAGTGGGACCGTATAGCATATGGACTGCTAAAGACTTTTCAACTAATCAGCCTTCTGCCAAGTAGGGGTCTGGCTAGAGTAAGTTGTCAGTTTTATCCCTTCAGCAGAGGATCAGGGCAGTCTCTTTTCATTGCCATCTGGCTTTTTTTCAAGCCTTGTTACAGAGTTTCTGATCAGCAAAGCAAATTACTATCAGTATGTTTCAGGGTCTGCATTTAAACCAATTAACATAATTTCACAATATCTACCCTCCATAGAAGTCTACCCCAAGTAAAAGAGGAGTGTCCAAGCCTGTAGTTTTCACAGGTACATTTCATTGGTGAACTATTACCTCAGTAAAGGAATTGTCGTCATATGAGAAAAAATTATTGTGCATTAAGGTTCTTCTAATAGCTGTAGAAACCTAAGTGAGTTTGAGATCATGGGACCTGTATTTTTTTTAGTAGTCCTGGCTTCTGTGAACAAGAATCCATTGGACAAATACACTTGATGATATCTTGTCATCTTGTCCAGCCTTCTTTTCAGAGGGTTGCTGCTGCCATGAATACCTTATTTTGAATCTGCAGTTTTTGGGCTGCATCCTGAGTAGTTTTTGGTTTTGTTTTTTTACTTGTCAGTTTCTTTACATATGTTTTGTTTTTGGGAAATTCTTGATGCTGACACCAGCATATTCTACACCTTGCACAGACATGTTGGGAACTTGTGGAACTTGGACCAGTTGTTAATACATCTGTATAACTTCTAGTGTTTATCTGAAAAATGTTTGAAAAATGTTTGAATTTCCTCAGGTTATCTTGGATATGAGAACAAATACGCTTTGCTGGAATCCCATGGAAGCTTTCATTTTCACTGCTGCAAATGAGGACTTCAAGTAAGAATTATTGTTGCCTTACTTGCTCTCTATTTAAACTTCTGTATTCAGAACATTTGTAATTTTAAGTTTTGACTTCTGCTTCATGTAAGGATATGATTTTTATAGAAGTTACAAGGAGACTGTGGATTTTAACTTTTAACTGGAATCCAAAGAGCTACTTATTTAAATTATTTTTACTTGTTGGCTTTTCCATCTGTGTGGACCTTCAAGATGACCAATATATGATAATCAATTTGGCAACTCCTTCAGGAAACCTCGGAGGAGGACAATGAAAAAGAAAGCAAAGCAGAAACAAACAATGCCTGGATGAAATACTGGGCTCATAGTTAGATAAGGAGGGGGTTCAATAGATCATTGCACGTATGTCAAGTTGAAGCTCACTCAGAGCAGAATTGGCCTCTAAGGGCAAAATGTACTCCTGGGGTCTAATGGGCGCCTGCCATGCTTGCTTTGTAATTTATTTGTTCAGAGGAGTGTACAAGAAAAAAATACAAAAATAGAAAAACTACTCCAATGCTTTTAATTTCCTTTTTTATTATGACACTTCATGATACAAGCAAAATGCTCTATCAAAGTCAGACAAGTGGGTACAAATATTTTTGAAAATACATTTGATTTTGCTAGTATTCAGCCCCTGGAAATGAAGCCTTACCTGAGCAATTGAACATAATGGAATTAGGTGTAAAGTGTTAACTTCCTTTCTTTTGCAGCTTATATACTTTTGATATGCGGTTTCTTGACAAGCCTGTAGTGGTTCATATGGATCATGTGTCTGCAGTCCTTGATGTGGATTACTCTCCTACTGGGAAAGAATTTGTGTCTGCCAGCTTTGATAAATCTATTCGCATTTTTCCAGTGGACAAAGGTCATAGCAGGTCAGTGATTTTACAAATAGGCTTCTCTTGGGACCCCCCCTCCTTTCCCACCATTCTTAATGCTCTCATTAACTTATTTAATGTGTTTATTGAGGAAGGATATATCCTCCTACCAGTAATTGTTTGTTGCTTGCACTGAAAAAGTAATAATTCACAGCTGTTGAATTTCCAGTTGAATTGTCCAGTATTTCAGTACTTCCTATACGTTAGAATGTATATTGAATTTACAAACTAAAATTGATTGAGTTCTAAATCCTACCTTAGACTAGCCTAATGATGGGCTCACGCAGTGGGATTTTTGCTTTTGCAAATCCACTCTTCCAAGAGTCTTGCGTCATGTATAATGGTGAGGTGCTCAAGAAACAAGTCTGTCAAATTCTCCTGTGGGGCTGGGAGAGGTCAACATCTGACCCACTGGCAGGATCCACTTCCCTACCCCTACTGAGAGCCAGTGTGGTGTAGTGGTTACGAGTGGTAGACTCATAATCTGGTGAACCAGGTTCGCGTCTCCGCTCCTCCACATGCAGCTGCTGGGTGACCTTGGGCTAGTCACACTTCTCTGAAGTCTCTCAGCCCCGCTCACCTCACAGAGTGTTTGTTGTGGGGGAGGAAGGGAAAGGAGAATGTTAGCCGCTTTGAGACTCCTTCGGGTAGTGATAAAGCGGGATATCAAATCCAAACTCTTCTTCTCTTCTTCTACTTATATAAAGTAGCTCTGTTTCCCTTCAGAATAGAGCTTTGCCTCTCAGGAGTTCAAAATATAAAAATACATAATTAAAGGAAACACATACATAATTAAAATACAATATTGACAGACTGTGTTGAGACACAGTAAAGTCATTCAAACTCAGAAAATAATGTATACTTCCAGGATCCATATAACCTCTTTAATGAGATCGTTTTAAAAAACATGAGTTTTGTATAGAAGTAATATTTTACTTATCAAAGGCCCATTGCTGAACTTATTTGTCTAATCCAGGAGGCTTCTTTCACAGTCCCACGGGCTCATAAGCCATGGCATATTTTGTGTTCCTAATTAAGCCCTGAATGTGAAACTTGAGAAGACAGAAGAAATAAGAGATACTCTGTTTATTAAGTTCATTAAAAGCCCTTGGCAAATGAACCAGATGTTTGTGTGATTAAATGAAAGAATCAAGTTATTCACCCATATGCTATTGTATTGCTCTTGTCCTCAGAAGAGTGATTTTTCAAAACCTGTGACACAAGCAAAAGGCACAAATAAAATATTTTTTTAAAAAGAAAGGGTTAGGTGAAAGAAGCATCTGAAATTGCATACAATTATTTTCTTCCAGAGATCAATAAGGAGAGTAGAGGGCACCAATAAAGGCCTTTTCTGTACTTTTATCAGAATGGCATGACTGCTGTTAAATATGTCATGAAGCTAGTGATCTAATATGTTAAGGAGTGATTGGACCATTCTTCAAAAAACTAGTAATTTGAGCAAAGGGGAGACTTGCTCTTTAGTTACTCTCTTTTGTCTACATAATATATGAAAAACAGTTAATATTTTATATGTGCACAGCTCAAGACTCATGGGGCTCTGGCTTGCTTGCGAGGTCCTCCTGAACTCCTTAACTCATATATAAGCATGCACATATGCACATACTTCTTTTCAGGCAAACCTCACTGAAAATATTGGGTGAGATTCAGTATAGCAGAAGATGGTATCCACTACAACCCCCTGTGCACCCCCAAAATCTGCTCTGGTGCTTTGGGAGACGACTCGGGCAGATTTTTGGGGTATGCAGGGACTGGAAGGGGAGAAAAGAAACCACAAGTCCAATTACACAAGCAGATTTCTAGCAACTAGAGGATGAATATTGTTTGGTGTTGCCCACTGTTTATAGTTGAAACTATAAGCACCAATTAAAATTATATAACACTATATGATATAAATCTATGTAATAAAATGGCCAAGACATACTTCAAAACTGCATCTCCCTTCATCTCAGGGCAAGATTGTTTTTTAGTAGCCCTGTGGTGGCAGTGAATAATAAAATAAAGCTATGAATATGTATTCATGATTGTAATGTGCTTTGGTTGCATTCCGATCTTAATTGAAAACAAATTAGACTACTGGGGACATAAGCAAAGTCTCCATGTAAGTAGTAATTATCATCTATAGCTGTTCTATGTCTTATGTATTTATTTTTAAACAGTAGACTTGAATGAAGAAAAAATATAGGTTACAATAAATAATATAACCAAATGAAAATAATTGTAAATTGTACATAGTTGTTAAATAATTACAAGATGGGTACTCTGCGCCTTTATAAATATTTTAGAGTATAATTTAAATCAGAACAGAGTACTTGCTCTAATTTAAGGCGTTATATCGAAGAGTGGAACTCATTTTGCGTAGCATTGCTTTTGCAGCTCCTTTTTTCTCTCCCACAAAAAGCTATTCCTGTGGATTGAGGGACCCTTTGGTGGTTGTTTATTATTATTATTATTATTATTATTATTATTATTATTATTATTATTATTAATTGTCTTACACACGTTTCAAGCCAATGTGCAGGATACAAGAAAAGAACTATTAAAAAACCCACAGTTAAAACCAAAAGAGAAAACACCAGCAGATATATATTTTAAAAATACAAATCAGATGCCTTAGCAGAGACACATTCATCCAGCTTGGAATGCCTGTTGGAGAAAAAATGTTCACAGTATCATCTAGGTTTCATCAAGATAGTCTCTGCTGAGTTTCATCTTTGCTGCCACAAGCCAAACTGGTCATGTGACTTTCAGTGACATATGTTTCAGTTGGTTTTTTGCACTTAAGCAGAACTACAACCAAGCAGGTGTTGACTGAGTTTCTGACTGAATGTCAAAAGCTGATCTATATAACAGCTTCAACGCCTGGTATTGCCAACTGCACACCTAGTTAATGGAAGCTTAGCTGATAGTTAACCCTCCCCCCAAAAAATGAGTTTGGTCTTCCATGTGCTCAGAGTCATGAGAACAGGCTAGAAGTTGTCATTATTAGCACAGAGGTGATTCACACGACCACTGTTTATCTCATCTGTGTATTCTGGTAACAGACATCTTCCTTGAGGTGTTGGGTAAGGGCCCCAGAGATAATTATTTTTGAGTCTTTTGTATGCAGTTAGTAATTTCTGAGGATTTAGGTGGTGCTACATATTGTTTAATTTGTCAGCAATACACGTTGTATACCTTAAAAATAAACTTATTGGTCCCATTTATGAATAAAAAATAACACTTTCCAGTGTTGAAAGGAAAATGCATGATGAAAGAAAACATCAGTATAAATGTTCCAATTTAATAGGCGTTTTTGTTTGTTTGTTTTAGAGAAGTCTATCATACAAAGCGAATGCAGCATGTCATTACTGTTAAATGGACATCTGACAACAAATATATCTTGTGTGGCTCTGACGAAATGAACATTCGTTTGTGGAAAGCTAATGCTTCTGAAAAACTTGGTGTGGTAAGTAAATTCAAATTGTATTTTTTAAAGTGAATTAAGGTGACAAAAATATATTTATGTATTTAAAATGCTGATATTTAATTTGGCTTAGTTGTATGCATGATAATCTTTCATTGCAACCAGCCTGCCTTGAGTTTGCTCATTTTCTTTATTATGGTATATATTTATATCAATTTAATATAACTGTTCAGTGGCTCAGTTCACACGTACTGCTAAGAGCAAACCATGTGTTAGCATGAGGCTGTGGGTTCTCAGAGAGGTTATTGCTGCCACTGCAGTCCTCCCCCATTTCCATGGCAGTACCTGGGGCTCCTGCTCTTTGTTTTCTCCAGATTGTCTCCTCCAGATTTGTCGGGAGCAAGACAAATGATAAGCCTGAGTTTTTTATGACACATTAAATCAGACTGGTTTAGCACTGGGTAATGCAGCAGTGGGACTGGGGGAGGAGTGCAGAAGTAGCTGTTTGGCTAAATGCTCCTCAAGAGAGTAGAGTTGATCATTCAGCTCCATGCTCATGTGATACCGCAAAAGATTAAGCTTCTGAAGAAAAAAAATGCAAGAATATTTAATGCATAGGAAGTGTCATGCGGGCTAAACCTTTTTTTTCTTTAAAGAAACCAATATGAATAAGAGGAGCTTCTCCATCATTGCAGAATTCTCTTCTGTCAGAGATGCACTGCACAATTTTACTTGACGTTTGGATTAGACCTAAATACACTGCTTAGGTTGTGGCTTTCATAGTTGATGAATGTTTATTTGACTGGTAGTTGTACTTTGACACTGAGGCTGCTCAAGTATTCATCATTTCTGACATTCATGTTTCCTTGGCTTCATTAATGTATTTGGCGTTGCACTCATTACGTAAAATCAGTGGAACACTCTAGCAAGAACAGCATCTCTGCAGGAGCCAGAGGCGCTTACCCTGTCTACACTCCACTGACGATTAAGCCTATGATATTCTGGGTAACTGTGGTGGAGATAAATGACATCTAGTTGTTACAGCTGCAGGAGAGTGTTCCTTAAAAAGGACTGTGCTGCTTTCCAAAATAGAAACTTTACGTTTCTGCATCTATGTAATGCAGACTTTGTGAAAGCAAATCTGCTTTTAAATTGCAAAAGTTGCACGCAATTGAATAAGTTACATGAGATGGGCATTTTAAATATCTAATGTGGTGCACCTGATACAATTTAGACAAGATACACGCTAATCTTGGGTATCTTCTTCACAAAAAGAAAGCTACAGTTGTGGTCTTGATAATGTAAATGAACTAGTAATTTCGAGTATTCACTCATTGTAATGTTTTGTAGAACTCTCTTGGATTGTATAACAATCAGTATGGGGTTTAGTAACGCAATGAGCTTTTATAGCCCAGTCCTTTTGAGTTTCTGTCTGAAGTAGTAGCATATAGGCACAAATATAATACTCGAAGTGCTAGTGTGAGGCCTTTGCTTCTGCCTTTGCTATATAACAGGAATCATTTTTAATCTTGGATCATAGTCTCACCCTTAAGCCCAGGACAGCCCTCAAAGCTGATGCTTTGGAGGAAGTTACTCTGGCCTGTTTGTGCTAACAAGAGCAAGTTGTCAATATGCATTGAACTGAGGTCAGGGAGGTGATGATACAATTGTGCATTTGCTTTTAAAAAAAGAGATATTGAGATTTCTGTTCTAGGTGTTTATAACGTGATGGGGCTATGGACATAATGTGAATATCAGGTGCAGTTCATGCCTAATCCTGAGACATGTCCCTGGCTTCTGCTCTACTGCCATTTTGTGAAAATTCATGCTATATTTCATATTATACTGACCTTTGTATGAATGCCCCTCATCATAGATGTTAGCCTGTCACTTTTCCTCCTATTCCAAGCTCCCTTCCCCCTCTTCCCCTTCCTGATTTTGCACACATTCACCTACACAGTAATTCAGGAGTGCTGTGCATATAAACTCACAATATTGTTTTTGTCTGCAGAAGGAGCAGGGTTCTATCAGCAACCATTTTTTAAAGTAATTGCCTTTAATTAAAATGAAAGCCTTTTAATTTGGATTGCATTGACTATTTGCACTGCAGGAATGCCTGGAATGTATTGCTGACTAAACAAACTATTATGGGATGTCTTGAGATAATGACCAAGGAAAAATATCACATGTAATTTGTGTAGCATTACTGTAAATGTCTGCTAACATTGATTCAATTTAATATCTTATATTTGAGAGCTAAGACAACTCCAGCTGGATGTTTGTATCAAATGTTTTCCTCTAGAGCCCAAAAGGTGACTTTCGTTATTTGTGTATGTTGGTGAAATCATTAGGGGTTTGGCATCAAGATGCTTAGGTTTTTACTCTATAGATGAACAACCCTCCTCCCATTAATTCATTACACCCTTTTATAGATATATAAGGGAAAAAACGAAGGTGTCCGGAAGAGAGGCTAATTGAAACCATCCTACTCAATTAATAAAATAAGCTATACCTAACTAAGCAGCTGAGTATAACGGGCTTCTGCTTCCTTCTCCAGCAAAAAAATATTCCTACTGGAGTGATTAAATTCTGCGTAGATTGCCAGTAAAGTGATAACAAATAGGCAGCCATTTTATAAAGTATGGCAAACTTAAATAATAAATATGTAAGTTCTTGCGTCAACTTCAGGTGCAAGTATTTATCCATTTGCGATTGGATCCAAAGCTGACCTTCACAGATGGACTTTGATCCAGTTGTGGTTCCTGCTAACAAAATTGGGCAGAATGTGACTTCTAGTTATTTCCCCTGCAGCTTTCTATCCACATCATCTCCCACACTGAAGAGGGTTCTTCAACCCTCTGCGGCAAAATTTCAGGCGGAAGGGGGGATCTGTAAAAGTCACCTCCTCTCCCCATTCCTTCCATTAGTGGGTGCTGTGAGTGGAACTCTCCTCACAGGGTTATTGGAGCCCTAAGATGCCTGATGAAAAATCCATAGAAAAAATGGGTCATGTTAATGCTTGCATTGGACTGAGCAACTTGGAGATGGTAACTAGTATGGGTGGCGCTGTGGGTTAAACCACTGAGCCTAGGACTTGCCGATCAGAAGGTCGGCGGTTCGAATCCCCGTGACGGGGTGAGCTCCCGTTGCTCGGTCCCTGCTCCTGCCAACCTAGCAGTTCAAAAGCATGTCAAAGTGCAAGTAGAGAAATAGGTACCGCTCTGGCGAGAAGGTAAACTGTGTTTCTGTGCGCTGCTCTGGTTTGCCAGAAGCGGCTTAGTCATGCTGGCCACATGACCCAGAAGCTGTACGCCGGCTCCCTCGGCCAATAAGGCGAGATGAGCGCCGCAACCCCAGAGTCGCCACGACTGGACCTAATGGTCAGGGGTCCCTTTACCTTTACCTTTATATAAGTAAGATGTGTTCCCAGAATGGTTTTAAGGTAAAAGGTAAAGGTACCCCTGCCCGTAAGGGCCAGTCTTGACAGACTCTAGGGTTGTGCGCTCATCTCACTCTAGAGGCCAGGAGCCAGCGCTGTCCACAGACACTTCCGGGTCACATGGCCAGCGTGACGAAGCTGCTCTGACGAACCGGCACCAGAGCAGCACACAGAAACGCCGTTTACCTTCCTGCTATAAAGCGGTACCTATTTATCTACTTGCACTTAAGGGTGCTTTCAAACTGTTTGGTGGGCAGGAGCTGGGACTGAACGACAGCAGCTCACCCCGCCGCGGGGATTCGAACCGCCGACCATACGATCGGCAAGTCCTAGGCACTGAGGTTTTACCCACAGCGCCACCCGCGTCCCCGTGGAATGGTTTTAGGTAGCACTTTTAAACAGACTTACTTGAAAACAAGTTCTATTAGTTCTTGGTTTTTCTGAGAGTCAAATCAGCTTTGACTACATTTTTGCCCATTTTTGTTCCACTGCTATTGGAACGAACTATTTATTGAATTTGTATACTGCCTTTTTGCCTAGGCACACCAGGAGTTTTACAGTTACACAGTTTTGCCACTCACTCACCTGCAGATAAAAATGAACCATGAACAGCCCCCTTCCTCCAGCCCTCCTTCTTCCTTCTCACAAGGCAAATGATGTTTTTTGGCAAGTGGCAAAGAGGGGATAGTTTGCCTGGCATAGGCCCTGATGGTATCTCTGCTTCCCTCTGAAATAGACAATTAATCCACTCCAGGGACTACTTCATATTTGCTGCCTCTTCTAATGGGCAGGGTGATTGCTGTTAATTGGAGGGTTATTTAACATGTGATTTATTCCTTCTTACTACTCTTTCTGCCCCCTCAACCTGAATAGCCCACTTGTGGGGGATGGGAGAAGAATATACAGTTTCTAGTATATCCAGTTTCTAGTATATCCAGTAGAATCCAGTTTCTTTTTCTCTCGTGCTTGCACAGTGTGGGATTGCACAGTTTTAGCTGATATTTGCCAGGTTCTTGGAGATCTGGCAGTGACAGTTTTGTACCTGTTAGCAGACACACGGGAACCAACAATACTTCTTGTGGATTTGCACACTTCTAAAACTGTTCTGTCTTGCTTTATGGAATAAGTCATCTTTACCACCTGCTCAGTTTTAACACCAGGGTCTGTTTCTGTAGCTTCTTCCTCGGGAAAAAGCAGCTATGAACTACAATGAGAAATTGAAAGAGAAATTCCAGCACCACCCCCAAATCAAACGTATAAGTCGCCATCGACATTTGCCAAAGATGATCTACAGCCAGGCCAGAGAGCAACGCATCATGAGAGAAGCTCGTCGGCGAAAGTATGTTACTTCTTAACTTTACCTTGTTAAATTATATGTTATATTGGGCCATTCTTTCAGTTAGCCCAGCAACACTTTTGAATAGATTTAGAGGAAACTTGCTAACTTGAAGAGCAGTTCCGTTTACTCTTTTCTATTGAAATTTTACCAAAATGAAAGAAATCTGTATAGGAGTCTATTGGCAAGCTTTCATTATTTTATTGCATATTATTCTAAGGGCAAGAAGTTGGACTAGATGATTTATTGGTTCTTGCAAATGATTCTGGAACATTTATTTGTTAATTTAAGCAATTAGATTGCATGAGGCAATGGGGTGGAAAGGGAAGTCAAAGTGGTGGTAAATACTCACGTTCAAGAGAAAAGGAACAGGTGGTTTCTCCATGGAACAAAATAGACGATCCATACAAATAGTAGAGAACACTATAAAATACATTATTCAGTTTTGTTTTAATTGAATCTGTTGCCTAAAAGAAGCAACTCAAAATGAGTTTCTGCTCAAGTTTATGATCTAGCAGCCAGTTAGTGATTTTCCAAATATAGTAGGGCATTTTCAGTATATTGTTTTTTAGAAGCAATGTAGAGTATGGTCAGTTAAGTACTTTGTTTTTTAAATAAAATTATACCCCTTGTGGCTGAAATAATCTAATTTTGATGTTTTTTATTCTAGGGAAATGAATCGACGGAAACACAGCAAGCCTGGATCTGTACCGCTTGTGTCAGAGAAGAAGAAACACATTGTGGCTGTAGTGAAATAATAGTTTATATAATGGCCTGTTTTATTGGTTGAATTCTTAAAGACAATGTGCACATCCTTTTGTTATAGGAGATAATTCTGACACTTTTACTTTTTAAATGTCTCCATTACTATTGTAATGTTTGGATTTTGCATTAAAAAGGCATTTAAAATTTTATATCTAGATATGCTACTGATATAGTTTAGGTTAATTTTGTGACCTCCAGTAGCATTTCATTCTGTTGTACCTTCTGTCAATTTTAATTTTGTGTCACCTGAAAAAGAGACACAGGTGTTGTATCCACTGCCAAAAAGGATGAACAACTTCATTATGCAACAAGCAGCTTTCCCTTTACTAGAGACTACATAAGCATTCAGCATGTAATTTCTAAAATCCTATGAAGAGTTCTTCATAGGCTAGATAATTTAGGAAACCCTAGTGTTATGACACTTGCCTGTGTTTCCTTACTGCACCCATCAACATAATTGAGCAGTTGTCAATATGTGATATTAAAACAAAGATTGAATTGAAAACCAAAAGGAATTGAAAACCAATAAAGATACTTGAAAATAAAATCCAGGAGCAGGACCCAGTAAAAATTCTGCCCTACTCAGATTTTTCTTGAAAAATTCACATAGACTGTTAGTGATGTCCTCCATAGGAATAATTCAGTAAGTACTCCTGAGACAGAAAGTACTGGTCTCATATTTTTGCATCTCCAAGTAATGCTGGAAAAGAAACTGAAACACTTGAAGAATCTCTGCCAGTCAGTGAAATCAGTGGGAAATGGACCAGTAGCCTGACTTTATTTAAGGCAGACTTTGTTTCTGGGATTTCTGCAATAATTTAAACCATCTGGGGGGGCATCGATTGATATTAAACTGGCCAAACATTTACTAACAGTTGCCTTGTTTTCTGCTTGTAGTTATGGCTCACAAAATATCTGTGCAGTTTCCTCCGCAAATGATCATCAAGCCCTGTGGTGATGGCCTGGAACTTTGCATTGTGTGTGCTATTCATTACCTACTTCCAGTTCTATCAGTTGCTACTTATTCCCTGTGTCGAGTCATAGTGAGCTATAATCGGCTTCTCTAGGAGAAGTGTTTCTAATTGTGGGATTGGGTTAACGATCTGTATCTGAGCCTTCAGCAAGGAGCTTCTTGCATCTTAAGTGACAGGAGTAGGATCAGCATGGTCCTAAGTGCTAATTTTTCTGAAGAGAGCCTAATGGGTGCAGAGCTCTGCAGAGGATTTTATCCATAGGAACAAAAGACCTGAAGAAGGAAGGGGATGTTGACCATAGGAAAATGCTGCATCATAGATGAGATGGAAGTAGCACATCAGCAAATTTCTTTACCAGACTGTGTTGATGACAGGAAATGATTTCTCATGCCATAAGCATTCAGGACACAATAAGCCAAAATTATTTTTCCTACAAAGCAAGTAATCTAGTTTTTAAAATTGAAGGAGAAACATTTAATTGGTACAGCTGGATAAATAAAGGTGTATTTATAGATAAGCTATTTGAGGAATAGAGCCTGTTGGGTTTTTTTGAACTAGTTAAGGCAAAAATTTAACCTTTGTGAACAAATCCATGGACAATATTTGCAGCTGCATCTTTTTTGCAATAGAGTATTTGCAATCAGAAAATACTGGGATGTTTCTGATAAACCCGTGTTTCAAAATAATCCTTCTCTTTCTGGTTGTCTCTGAAGCCCCAAAAACATCAGCGAAAAAAGCATATAGAGTAAATAACTGTTTTAAAATGGCAATCTCAAAATGTAGAACAAAATGGAACCCATTTGTTGGGAAAGTTTATGTAAAGTATCTCTTTTTCAAATATTCTATTCAAATATATGAAAGTAACAATATTATTTTGTCATACTCACTCTAAAGGATTCTAATACAATTAAGCTTTAGTGACTTATTTTATACTTCCATATTTAATAATAAAAATTCACTCTATATGAAAGTAAAAGTATTTCCCAGTATACTATTATATACACCTTTGGGGGTTTTGTTTATTGTTTTGCATTTTTTGCTCTGGCCATGTTTGCCTCTGGCCACACACATCACTGGTATGTGGCCCCCAGAAGGGTTCCCATGAGGTAATGTGGCCCTTGGGCTGAAAAAGTTCTCCCATGCCTGGGTTGATTTATTTGAACAGCGTATAATGTGACCCCATTAACATTTCTTAGTGTTTCTGGTTAACATTTCTTAGTGTTTCTGGTTTCTGAAAAAAACCATGTAAGTCTGAATCAACTTTATGGTCAATGCTGCCCATTTGTTCTGTGCTGAGAGAATAATCAGAGCAAACTCCCTTCAATAAAATGAGAATTAGCAAACTTACAGGAACATGACTAAAGTGGTGCTCTTCAAAGTGCCAAAGCTCAGATTACAGGAATTCATCATATCCATGAATCAGATAGCATTGGTCTTGCAGTGTAATTCTACCTAAATTATGTTTGTCAGTTGAGAATGCCAAATTAAATGCTGTTTTGTCAAAATTTATTGCTGCTGTTGGGAAACTGCTTTGATGACATGACAACCCCTCTTGAGAGAGGAGGAGGAGACTGCTTGAACCATTCCTGTTATTCTGAAAAGATGGGGCAAAGTGAGTTAAGACACCAATGGCTGAAAGATTTCTACCTGCTGCACTGCACTGGTGAGAGAGATTACATTATACAAAGGCAAAATCCCAGAGGAATGTCTCTTGTATGTATTCCATAGACATGAATGGGAATTAACTTTTTAATATTTTTTGAATAACATAATAAGGCAACAAATACAAACATTTGCTGGTTGGGAAGAGAAGAGACAGCAAGCTTGATTATTGTGTTCTTTCTTCACTGGTGCGGATGAAAGGACAAAAATGTGCATTGAATACTTTATCAATGGTTTGGGACCAGAATATATCAGAAATGGCATACTCCCGCCATCCTCAGCATAAGCCTGTCAGGACCTTCAACACTATTCATATCTGCATAGTATCACCAAGTAGAACTGTTTAGGATATTGAGAGATAATCTGAGTTTTGCCATTGCCAGGTTTGAAGGGGCCATTGGCAAATGCCCATCTGGTTCATATATCAGTGAATCTCTCTGGTACGAAAAACGTAATACCAGGCGTTGGGGGAAATTAAAATGGCAGCATCACCATCTGATTGCAAAATAGTTCATTTTCTAGCATAGACATTCTGTTTCATAGAAATAATGGGATTTTGCTAAGGGAAGTTTAGAGTTTGTTAATCCTCTAATGAACAGTTCTCAATGTGTTAATTTGTTTGTACTCGGTGCACAGAGAGGTTTTCCATTAATGCACACTTTCAGTTGGAACTCATCCAGGTACCGTAGGTATTAATAACACCATGGACGAAAACTATATGCAAGGTAAAAAGGACAGAACATAATTATGTTTTTTCCTTCTTTGCAAGAAAATTGGAACAATGAGGGTTGTATGTGTTGAGAGAAAGAAAGGAGGGCTTCTGAAACACTGGTAATTTCTATACATAATACACTTGAAGCCAAGGGTTCTGCATATGTGCCAAAAACACAAATACTCTGACACCCTGTGTGAGCATCCCAGGATTTCTGGAACTGGCATGCTGGCTCCAGAATCCCTAGAATGCTCTTTCGAGATCTCTCAGAGCTGTCCAAGTTCCCATGAAATCTTGCAGAAGCATCACAGACCTGGAGAGAGCCAGTGTGCTGTAGTGGTTAAGAGCAGTAGACTCGTGATCTGGTGAACCAGGTTCGCATCCCTGCTCCTCCACTTGCAGCTGCTGGGTGACCTTGGGCTAGTCACACTTCTTAGAAGTCTCTCAGCCCCACTCCCACTCACCTCACAGAGTGTTTGTTGTGGGGGAGGAAGGGAAAGGAGAATGTTAGATCCCTCGGGTAGTGATAAAGCGGGATATCAAATCCAAACTACTCCTCTTGCTTCAGAAACAAAGCTGAGAGCTTTAAAACTCTATGCCAGAAAAATCCAGCACAAAAAGAGTTTTTAAACTGTGTCTTGGTTCCTGAGCAAGGTCCACTCCTCATGCTGGCTTAATTTACAGGATGTCAACCAGCTAGCATTCAGTCATGTATTGCTGAAATTGCAGAAGTTACATGTACATAAGATGTGATCGTACTGTATAATATTATAGTACCAGATTAGCCTGCATCTCTCTATATATGCACACAAAACCCCATCATCTTACAGACATGTTCACAAAAGTATTACTTTGGGCATTTTTACACAGGGGGTTATTGCAGTGGGCACAGTTACTTTAGGAACACAGTATTGTCTTGCTTTGGTGAGGAAATTAGCGAGAAGCAGTAAATGGCAATATAAACAAATGTTTATTTTCATTTGGCATGTGTATTGGCATACATTTGAGTGAAATGGCTTTTGTCTCGAAGCAACCATACATAGATGTAGAATAGCAAGATGGTTAGCTGTTACAAATTATATACGCTATCCACATTCACGTTGTCAGGACTGTAAGCTTAAATAATTGCTGTTACAGAGAGAGAGAGTGCTTTATACGAAATAGAGTTGGGCACCAGAGGACAGGGCAAAATTGCAGCCTACATGCACCAGAAGGGAAAGCTCAAATGCAAATGACTATGGTTTGGAGTAATGCGTAGGTTCAGAAACAATGCAATGAGGGAAATGAGAAAGGTATAGATAAGAGGAAGGAGCGAGACACTAATAATTACCTGTGCCAAGGAAGGGAGAGTAAAGAGAAAGCATATGCTCATTGCTGAATCCAGACTTCCTGGCAAAGGCTAAACACACTTTGTATGGTGGAGAAACAGGCCTGGGTACCATTGACAGCAAAATATCCAGAAAAGGGGTTTTTAGGCTGAGGTGATGGCTGGGTAGGACATCCTTGTTAGCTTACCCTTGAAGTAAATCTCACTACCCTGGGTTTCTTAGAATCTTCCTAAGCAGCTGAAGGGGTTCCTAATAAAGTTCAAGAAATATAAAAAGCTACCTTTTGAGATAACATTGGCTTATGCCTGCTAGGGTCATGACTAATCTGAAGAAAACAAGCATGTCTGAGAAGCAGGGAGGGGAGGCAGGTATAAAGGGCCTAGGTTTTGTTCATGCAGGCATCAGTGAGTTGAAGCAGACTTGAAAAAGAGTGGAGATGGTGGGTGGTTGCTGCTTTGGTTCCAATAATTTATGTATTTATTTAAAATACTAATTTATATTAAGTGTTCTTTTAAATTGTTAAGAATTAAAATTTGAAAACCAAATTCCATACAGGTTGATTTCTTAACATGTGTGTGTTTTCTTTAGCACTTGGGACAACCTGGTGATAGTTGCACTGTTTGATTCCAACCAGATGTTAGCATATCATTTCTTTCAAACTGATAGGCGTGAAAGTTGTTGGGGATTTGGTTGTGAGCAGCTGAAGGGGTTCATTTAAGCTGAAGCTTCATTATAGCCTTATTTCGGGGCAGGTTTTGTATGCCCAACAATATAATGAAATACCGTAAAGCATGCCCCATGTCACGTGCAGAATACAGTTCAAACATAATTTAGTGACCACAACTCAGCTAAGAACTCCTAAGGGAGAAATTGAAATTTATAGAATCCAAGCAGCTCTCATTATGGAAATTAAACTCTGAGTATCACTTTGCCAAGATCATTCAACTAGCGCAGCTGACTCTTATTCTAAAGCAGTGAGATCAATAGAAAATGGAAGAAGCCCAGAGCAAAAATCCTTTGTAGAATTTAGATCCTCCTTAATGTTTTCAGAAAACTGTTTCAGGTGGCTTTTAGACAGGCACCGTTATTTAGCTGTGGGGATCTTAGAATACAGTGGTACCTCGGGTTAAATACGCTTCAGGTTACAGATGCTTCAGGTTACAGACCCAGAAATAGTACCTTGGGTTAAGAACTTTGCTTCAGGATGAGAACAGAAATTGCGTGGCGGCAGAAGGCCCCATTAGCTAAAGTGGTGCTTCAGGTTAAGAACAGTTTCAGGTTAAGAACGGACCTCCAGAACGAATTAAGTTCTTAAGCCGAGGTATCACTGTACTGATTTTATTAACAATATACCAGTGCACTAGTCCAAGTAGGCACAGGCAGGAAGCAAACTATTTTTGTGTTCCTGTGCCTGTGTACTGACTGGTGCCTAGGTATGAGAAGTTAGCCTTCCCTTTTTCCAAGCCACTATCTGTAGCGGGATATGCTGGATTTTGTCCTTTAAGATGGCAGTTCTGTACACTGTGTACTCTGTATAATGATATATGCATGGTTTTATTTAACTAAGAGGAAATACCACAGCAGCAGGGTATCACCTACTGACAAAACACTTGTTTTGTCGCAGGCTCTTTATTTATAGATATACAGGTTGGCTTTGGGTCAACAAACAGCGTCCAGAAGATACTATCTTCAGACTGGGAGTAAGAGATCAAGAACCCTGTGCCTCTAGCTATCAATTTCTCACTTAGATGATGTTAATTATGTTGTTACCTGGTAATAAAGTAATCTACAATGACCCATACATTCTAGTAATAGCTAGATCACTTTTTATTAGTTGGAATGTGGTAGTTAAGCAACAGTTTCATTCGTCTTTCCCGTTGTCTATCTGAAGTGACTATACACCAAGAAAACCAAGTCTACTTTTTCAACAGGCAGCAATTGCTTGGCTTCAATTTCATCCCACACTCAATTTGAGAACATAATCTTTTCCAAGAAATGAGTATCATAGTCCTTGGAAAATATGATATTCTGGGAAGACCATCCTACTTGTTGAGAATACTGTTCATTCATTGCTGTGATAGGGTAGAGGTTTTATTTTTCCTCAAGAAGGAGGTTTTAATTCTCTTACAAAGAAATCCACACCAGACACAGCTCACTTGGGAAACTACCAGTCTTGAATCTGTTCTTCTTGGACACAGACCAACGGCTGAAGAGCCAGAGGAAACAGTAATTCTCTCTCAATTTCAAAAGAATACATGAAAGGTAGTTGGTATGTCAGTATAGATGTGTGGTCAGGTACCAGGTGTGTGGGCAATTCCCAGCTAGTTTTTTTTTAATCTTGTCAGACGTCTGAAGAAGGAAAATCCAAACCAATTACTCATAGATGCTGACAACACAGGAAGACTTGGAAAGCACCATATACTGAGTGACAGAGGTCCACTCTGTTATGTCAAAGTCTCTATGTGGCTTTGCTGCCTGGCAACACTACGGAAGACCAAAGATGAAGTCAGGGAAATGCTGCCTGAAGAATCCTGGTACCATATGGACACCAAGGTATTTCTATTGCTAATACTACCCTTGAATGTGATTATATTGTATGTACAAATCTTTTGCAAGTCGCTTTGAAAGTCTCTATAAAACAGTATATAAGTAAAACAAACAAACAAACATCTTAATAAATGTGATCTTCTTGGTCATGGAAAACTATCATGTTTGCCACCAAGACAGTTTGCTCATATATATCTAGTTGTTTCCTCCAGTTCTGAAGTTCTGCTAACTCATTTTGAAAGAAGCCCCTAGCATTTCAACCCAGTAGCTAGCTGCTATAGAACTTAATTTACTATAGTTCCTTGGGTGATTGTTCTTTACTTCATGGATTTCAATCATGCAATAATAAGATTCTGCTGAATTATTTGAAACAGTGTTTAGATTTATTAGAAGGGGTAAGAAATGAGAAACTGGATTAGATGTTAGCTAATCAATGACCCTAATACAGTAGATGCAAATAATGCATATATTGGACAATATACTCTAAGCTGGACACAGACATTTTCAAATTATTTCACGGCTGTTTATTATTATATTACATAGGAAATTATTCCATGTTCAAATTATTCCTAGCTGGACTAGGTGCAAAGCTTTCTGCTTTTGGCAATACAGTAGTAGAAATAGTAGACATGTGCTGGTCGCTGGTGGGGACCTTCATCTAAGCACAGTCACAGTGGACCTTATTTGTCTTTTTCTCTTACATGTCTCCACCATAACTTTTAGGCAGGTAGCAGATAGTAAAAAGTTTGATCTAGCATAATATAAATAGAGTCTGTTGAATTAATTTTATTTTTGTTATAGACCATACAAAACTGCCATCAATTCGCTCACATCCTTGTCCACAGCCTAAAATATAAAACCATGAATCCAGTACTTTATACTGCCATTGTGGTGCAAACACAAAGGTTATAAGCATGGATCCTCATGTCTTTTACATGGAGGACCTCAATTCCAACCCACTATCAAATTAGAGTTTTTGATCTTCATAGACTCACAATATACAAATAACACAGTGCTTTGTGACACCTTCTTTTGGGCATAGCAGAAATAGCAGGTTGCATTTCAAAATGTTTACTCCAGCTTTGTAGGTTTTTAATGAGTTACTGTTTTAACTGCTTCTGTCCAGCTGTTTCTAGTGACCATTGTTTGCAGGATTTTTTAAAATCTATTTTATTGATGGCTTTAAAATTAATTTATGTCATCTTGTACCGTTTCGTATTGGCACTGATCAAACTTGCGCAATTAAAAAAGAAAAGAAAAGTAAATGAATTGATGTAACATTCATGGAACTACTGTGGGGCAAAAATCTAGATTGGAAAAAACCTGTTTCAGAAGCACTTTGAACCCTTGAAAGTGTTACATTGGGTGCCAATACTAATAGTTAATATTGCATCATAAAAACCTAAATCTGAGGTACAGATTTTTATGTAGTGTTGAATGCATTAAAAAAAAAAGATTTTACCAGCTAGTCTCTCAAATAACCAGTTTCCAGGGCATAACTGTATTGAACCGTATCTGAGCTTGTCTGTAAACATTTTTTACAACCATCTGGTACAATGTTATGATATGAATGTATTAAGTTAAGAGGCTTCAAATGGTAAGTGTGTTTAGGAAGAGCTGGAACTATATATTTTATGATATGTGAAGCATAATTTGTTGTTGGAATGGAAAAATCATTCAGTCTGGGAAGTATCATTTCCAAATTCCAGTTTTTGTGACACAGTAATGAAAAGACTCACTTGCATTGTGATTTTTACAATGCAATGATCTGATATTAGTATATGTTTAGGAAGTGTCTTCAGCCTTCCCGAAGCTGCTGCCTTCCAGATGTTTTTGGAGTATAGACTGGGGCTAGTGATGAGAGCTGTAGTCCAAAACATCAGGAAGGTACTAGGCTCGGGAAAGCTGAGGAAAAAATAACTGTGATACATTTTTTTAAATACTCATTTTATTAAAAATAAAATTAATAACTTATAGGACTTAAATGGGAAAACTATGTGGACACAATGTATTCTGATCCCTTGATGTAGATTACACACAGAGCACATATTGGATTCGTGTTCTTCATGCTGAAGGGCTAAGCCATGGCTATACAGTATGATATGGTTTGATGTAAGGATACATGTTAAACTTCCAAGGATCTGTGAGGACCCATGCAAAAAGCCAGATGATGTTGGAAAGATTATTTTGGATAGTGTAGGCGAACTGTGATTATATAATGGATTTCAACATTCTATTTAAAAAAGGATACATGATGAGAAGATGTGCTACAAATCTAGGTTCCAGCATCGGTGCACTACAAATGATTAAACTCATTTTTATGAGTTACTGTGTCATCATGAGTACAAATTAAATGGATCTGGAGCATCTAGGTTTTTGCATCACAAGGTGGAATTTATAATCATTATAACGAAGCCCATAGGTACTGATGTGAACTATGATTTGATGGTGGAAATGGGGTAATTTTGTGTGAAAAGCACAAGGACTTGCGTCTTGCAACCATCTTTTCGTGCCATAGCAATGTCATTAACTTATGAATCTGTGCTTGTTGTGAAGTCAATATAAGAGCCACAAAGTTTAATATATGGGATCCATTTTTTGTGCCTCAGTGATGCCACAAAGTGCTGGCTGCTTGATTTATACCATGCAGTCTACACAGATGAATGCAAGATTTGGGGAGACCTTCTATAAATAAGTTATGAAGATCCTTCCTTTTGTGCCACAGTGGCAGTACTACAAAGTACTGCATCTGTAATGTTTATAGATGTTTTCCCCTCCCATGGAGACATTATAGATGTCCAACTGAAGGCACAGGTGGCTTCCAGGTGACAAGAGGAGCCACAAACCTTGCATCTCTCTACATTGTGTTGCTGATTGGCTAGCTCAGCATGGAAGAAGCGAAACCATCCCAAATGGAAGCTGCCTATGTTCTGCAGTGTGCCCTGTAGCAGTGTGACCACCCGTTGCCCTCGACCCCGTGCCTACATGCCCAAAGGGCTGGCCACAGCTGCCCTAAAGCCAAATACCTATGTCCAGGCCCTTATATCCCCTTATTAAATGAATCTAAAATAGCAACCGTCCCTTGGTTATGTAATCCCAAACACAGATTACAGCCCCCACTTTAACCCATAGCCAGCTGCAGCTGTCTGTCCACCCTGTTAGCGTTTCCCCTGCCCCTTGGCCAACTGCCACTCGCTTACATCTCCCTCCATGTGAATGTGACAGCAGGGCGAGTTGAAGTTACCGAGGGAGCAACAAATCCGCCTTGGGTCCAGACGAGCCAGAAAACTACCTTGGCACATCTCTTTTTCTCCGCGAAGTTGTACCTCTTCCTCCTCAGGGTTTCCCCTGGCTCAGCCTTGCCTCTCCTCACCCGAATTTCGGGTGTATGTGGGGAGGGGGGAACTGGCCTCCCTTCTCTTCCATGCCACCTTTTCTCTCCGCGACTCCATAGCTCGCCAGAAATAACGGCTGAGGCAGGCAGGGCGCTTGTCTGTCACGCGCTCCGCCCCGCCCGCCCGCTCCCTCACGGCCGTTCGCCCGGCCTCCCTGGAGCGGCTGGGCCCAGTCCTCTCAATTGCGCGCGTCCCCGGTGCCACTTGGCTCCTCCCCCTTTTGCCTCGCGTGATTTTTATCGCAGCCATTCGCCTCCTTACCCCCCACCCCCGCGCGCCTTTCCCGGTGCGTTTATAAATAAATAAACAAACGCAATTCCCCTCTCTCTCTCTCCTGCCGCCCTCCCCACCTTCGCGCGCCGCTCCGCCTCCCCGCCCCCTCCCCAACGTCTTCCCCTCACAGCCTGCCTCTCCCTGCTTCACTCCCCCCCCCCTCCAACCGACGTTGCCGACGCGCGTCGTGTCGCACGAGGCTTCGTCTCGAGGCTGTGTGGGAAGCGAGCGGCTTTTCCCTTTAACGCTCCCCGCATTTCTCCTCAGCGCGCCCCGCCCCGCGCTCCGTTCCCGCGCCTTCAGGCGACAAGGCAGGAACGTCGCTGTCGGGCTGGGAGAGGGGGAGGAAGACGAAAGAAAGGGGGGGGAAAGGAGAGAAAAAAGAGAAAGAGCGGGAGGGGGAAGATTCGGGGAGGAAGATGAGGAGTCCCTTCCCGTGATTCCCGCTATTGTCGTCGTCGTCGTCGTTGTCGTTCCCCCCGCCCGGCTCCCCTTTCCCTCCTCTTAATTCCGCGATGCGATGGGTTAGGCGGCTCGTCGCCAGCAGCGGAGCTGAGAGAAGAGCAGCCGAGCGAGGCAGCCACGAGAGGCGGCGGCGGCGGCGAGGCCTTGTTGAAGCGCGGGTGGCGGAAGCGGCGGCTGCTGGTGGCGGCGGCGGCAGAGGAGGAGGAAGCCGCCGGCGGGAGCTGCTTTGCCCCACGGTCCCCTCCATGGACAGCGGGTTGGAATTATGAGCCGGCGGGAGCTGCTGGCGCCCGGGACTCGCCCTCACCCCAAGGGGTTTTCTCCCGCTCTGCGCTTCAGGGTGCCGGCGGGGCTCCTCTCTCACCATCGGCACCACCATTACTATTACAGCGCGCGACACCCCGACGCTTCGCCCCCTCAGCCCGGAGCCCCCGGCCCTTCCGCCGCCTCGCCAGGGCTCCCCTGGCCCGGGCGCCCGGCGACCTCCTCCTCTCCGGTCGCAAGCAGGGGGCGCCTTCGGTTGGAGTGAGAAGCCCCCCACCCCCAAATACTGCCCCTCACTCCGCCCCGCCAGAGCCCAACCGACACCCCTCACCAACTACCGCCCCCGGCTCTTCCCCTTAAGGCTCCTCCGTGTTGTGGTGCCCCCCACCCCGACCCCATTCCTCCCCCACCTAGTGCGGGCTCCCCCTTCCGTTTCCCTCGGAAGATCCTTCTCCCTCCCCAGAAACCATTACTGCCCGACTCCTTGCCCCCTTTCCTCACCACTGAGCAGGTGAGAGGGGTTGTGTGTGCGGAGAAGGAGGGGGGACCCTTTATTGTTGCTCCCCTCCCATCTCACCCAAAGCAAGCCCCCTTTCCCCCCTTCACGGACGCTGCTGATCCTTCCCCTTCCCTCCCCAGCAGGGCATTAATTAGGTGGCCGATTGATTCCCAAAGTATATTGATTTGTATGTATTTCACTCCGCGGCAGCGGCGGCTCTTTGCTCCGCTGCCCCCGCCTGAGTTAGCCCAGTGTTTTCCAGTATAGAGTGTTGCTGAAGCTCCGTCTACCAAATATGTCGGCTCCTGTTGGGCCCCGGGGCGGCCCTGCGCCTCCTCCTCAGCCGCCTCCACCTCAGTCCGAGATGCCCGACCTCAGCCACCTCACGGAGGAAGAGAGGAAGATCATCCAGGCCGTCATGGATCGCCAGAAGAAGGAAGAAGAGAAGGAGCAATCCGTGCTTAAGTAAGGGCTACTTTCCTCTCTTTTCTCTCTCCCCCCCCCCTTCCCACGGTTGTGTGGCTCATTCAGGAGAAGGAGGAAGGGTGAGGCCGCCGAGCCCCTCGCTTTCCACCCCTCCCTAGGGCATTGCTTGGGGCTGGCTGGCTGGCGTGCATTTGTGTGAGGTGGTAGCCTCCTGAGAGGAGCGATTTGAGGGGAAGCCACGGAGGCTGCTTGCCAGTGCATTTAGCTCCTCATTGGGGCTGCCTCTTGCCTCGGTCCATCCCTGCAGGAGATGGAAAAGAGCAAGCGGTTCCCTCCCCTCCCCGCTCTCCAGGCTCCTATTCGCCGTTCAGCCAGGCATGGACTGGGGCCAGGCGCCCAATATGGCCGCACAGGTGCTGTTGTAACCCGGTGTGTAGGAAGCGGATGGTTTCAGGAGGAGGAGGCGGCGGCGGCGGCAGCATGGCTGGGAAAAGGAACTAAGCGCGCACGAGAATCTGGTGGCAGCTGGAGTGGGCCTTTCCCCGCAGTCGCCACCGCCAAAGTGGCCTTCCTTCGCCGCCTGCCTTGCCTTCTCTTAGCAGCCCGGGCAGAGCGGAGATGTCCCGGCGAGGCCTCGGTAGCCTTCTGTCGGGGTGGGTTTGCGAGAGCCGCCATCTTCCTGCAACAACGTGTAGCCCTCCCACCCCACATTGACCGGCTCCTTGCGTTCTGGCAAGCAGTCCTTGTCCCTTCACCTGTGGGCCACTTGGCCAGCAGCAGCATGGAGGGCGCAGGCCTCGCAGGCGAGAAAAAGCTGCCGAGCTGCTCTGTAACTTCAGCACCACGGAGCTGTCCAGGCAGGCTCAGGGCAATTGTTTCTGGTTCTGATGACATTTCACCTTTCTTCCTGGGCTGTGTTACCTCCCTTTCTCTTGCAAAGCGATTTAGCTCTGATCCATTTGGGCAGTGATGTCAGGAAGCTCCATGTTTTCTCTGAATTTTTGTTTCTTACATATATGCGTTGTGGGTGGCAAGACTACCTGATTGGCTGAAATGCAAGCTTCTTTTGTGATCTTGTAACATGTTTAGCATGTTTTTGTCTATCATAGTAACTACTGTTTGCCTGTTAAGATCAAGTTCGTAGACAAGATTGCATTTGACTTTTTTATGTTTCTCAAACATCATGTAATCACAGAAATGTCATTTTTCTTATGTAATGGCCACACTGACCTCTAAATTATTATTCACTGCTTTATGAAGTTATTACAGTAGTGCTCTAACGCATACTGCTGTGTTTAATTTTAAGTAATGGATACTATGTAACATTTTGTCACAGGGTCAGAGTAAATGCTTCTGAGTCTAAACACTGCTAAAAATATCCAGCCAAATTACTAGGCAATCATAGTGATGTTAACCCATTGTCTTGTTGAACTGCTGATTCAAAATCTGCAGCTGAAAGCTTCTTGGCTTCTGGGCTGAGCTGATGACTTGTGCTGGAATCAGTGTGTATCATTAGCAATGTGACAGTGAACAAATAAATTATTGTTTTCTTGTAATTTTTATCTTCATGTAAAGAGAAACAGGTGGTTAAAGTATTCACACTTAACAGTAATAATGAAATGTGTTTGTGCTTTGAAGAAAGTCAGCATGATTTATATTAACAAAAGTCAGATTACCTTTTGCAATTCCAATTCTGACTAATAATTTAAAGTAATTTATACCAAGAACATATATTTATATGCCTTTGGCTGTTATATCTTAAAATATGCATTAAAAACAATGTAATATGCAAACAAGCAATGGCATTATTGTTATTAATAATATACTTTACCTGCCCGTTACCATGAGGTCACAGGGTGGGCAACTATAATATAAAAATTACAATATTAAAAATAGTTAAAACAGATAATTGAATAGTGGCATCAACATTATAAAATGTATTTACCATGTTTCTAGTAACATTTGTGCTTAAATACATAATCTCTGTGACTAAAATAATTTTGATTTTTTATATTAGAATATCTTATTTGTTTTTAATTGCAAGTTTGGTTAATAGGCACAAACACATTCCTCTGTTTTTAGACAAAATCATATGCATTTGACATGTCTTTCACACTCATACCTCCCCAATATAATTAGATGTGAGAAATAAGGAAAACTTTCCCTCCTAAAATAGGAAAAAAATAGAGTATGCATGGATTAATTGTGGTTTAGTATCATTTTAAGTTGGCTTGGGATCAGGCAGATAATTTGTCAGTTTGTGTTTGCTCATGAGATCTTAAGATATCTTAGACTGCCATCTCTTGATGATATGGATAGATAGATACAGTACAAAGAATGGCATGTGCTGATGTAGCCAGAGCAACAAGTGTGAGGCAAGTGGGGAGTTCATTATGCTTTGCTGTGTGTTAGTGGTAATCTCATCCTAACTCCTTAGTATGAAATAGTGTTTGTTCTGATATAGCAGACTTCACAATGGCTCAAATATTTAGCATCTGTTAGCTGGGTTGTACCTAGTCCCACCCTCTGTCGTGCTATGACTCATTTCTGTGTGGAGTAACAATTTTGCATGATGACACTAAATCGCTTATGGTGAAAGTAGTGATTTCTGCAGTGCTCACACATGTTTTTATGTTGCTACAACATCCTGGGCATGCATATGATACTGGTGCAATGCCACACCTTATTCACATATGATTATCATTTTGGCAGTTGTGACCTCTGATTTGCTAGTGCAGTGATGTACTGTTCTTAAATATATAGCTCTTTCAAAAGATTTATCCTTTTTCTTTCTCAGAATAGTTTCAATCTTCTCCCCTCCAGGTTGAATTTATTGTTGGAGGATGGGTGTTTTTTTAAAAAGCTTCATGTTGCTCCTAAGTTTACAATAATAATACAGTATGTTGGTGCTTGAAGAAGGCTGATGAGATTGAATGGAAATTGAGTTTTCTGTTTCTTAATAATAGTTGCAAATGTAAGTTTTGTTGCTCCTAGTCTAAGCATATCCTTCAAGGGAAGTAGCTTCCAAGCATATTTTCTGTATCATATAGAACTTTTGGAACTGCTGTTCAGTAAATGTGGCAAAGCATTCACCAAAAAGAAGTATATATTTTGCTTGTTTTGAAAATAGAACTGAAACTCTCAGAGTTCTTTAAAAAACTTACTTGCTAGGTATGTAAAGGATAAATTATACAGTGTTTGATATAAACAATGGATGGAAACCAGCTGGGCATTAGTTCCCCTCTGATATATTTTTATTTCATGCCATTTCTATTTTATTCATATTGCCTAATGAGTCCGTCGTTATTGTATTGACGTGCTTACTAGAAGAGCATTCAGTGGTGTCACTATCATCTGTCACATCAATTATTCCCCCCCTTTCCTCTTCCCAGGGCAAAATTATTCATAGACTTATATATGTATGTTTGTACATCCTTAAACCCATTACAGCCCCTCCTCCTGCTATGCTTCTTTTGAAGAAACAAAGAGAAGTGGTGCCGAGTTAGAATCAGCAGGAGTTCATATTGATAAGGTCAGCAGCCACTCCTGCTGTGATTTGCTGGAAGTAGATGACATGTGAAATGACCATTTTGCAGAGACACCTGCTTTTGGCAGGTTATGTCCTGTGAAGGCACTGGATGAAGCCATGCAGGGTTCCTGTGGAGGGACTTCCATGGGTTTTTAGTGTGGTGATCCAGAATTCTCTTGCTGTTGGGATTGTTCTCTCTAAAAATATCCTATATATGGAATATATGAGAACGAGATATTGCTATTAACCTTGGGTGATATCCAATTGTTTATTGGTATCCAATAAATAAATTGTGGCAGCCTGCTCTCACAACAGCCATTCTGCTAGCAGGAGCCCTGTATTTAGTATAGTACAGTAGCCAAATCCAATGCATGCCATACATTTGTGAAAGATGTTGTGCAACCTCTAGTGCATTTGCTATTATTATACTTTGTGACAGTTAAGCTTTGTGTGTTACCTCTTTTTTATACAGTTTGCACAACTACTTGTACAACGTCAACTCTCAAACTACTTATGCTATATTATGTTGGATCTCCCCCCCCCAATGTGTCAGTTTCACTAATTGTTACTATTCATTTTTACTTAGCTCAATTTGGTTCTGTGGACACTTGGTTTTGTGGACTATAATGTAGGCCTAAAAGAGATATAAGAGGTTCTAGGATTCCTGAATAAATAAGGCAATCTAATGCCCACTGGGCTGGGAGCCAGTCTCTCTTAAAACTTCTATAGGAGGCAAGACATCCCCTTGAGCTCTGGTTCAGTTTTCTGTGTCTTAAAAGAGAGACAGACTCCAATATGACTCCCATGCCTAGTGTGAAAGCCATTACCAAATAATTATATTAAAACTTGTGTGATGATTCTCAGCTGTCTGATAATGCTGGTATATATGTCATTTCCACCCCTTATGAAAATCTATTCTTCATATAACACTAAATTTTTAGTGATCCAGATGTATTTTATTTATGTCCAGTTCTCTGGGAGTTCAAGGCTTGTAAGAGAAGCAGTCAGTGTTGGTAATGACATGAGCAAGATCTTGGACAGCTTCAAGGGTCACCTGCTGGCTGAAGTATTCTTCTAAGTCTGGATCCAGCAGAAACCTTATGTAGGCTGACACGATCTGGGATGCAGTAGGCTCATTGGAGGGGCTGGCTGGCTGGCTGGTTAAAGGGTCCTTACTTTATTTGCGACATGTTACTTCTGTGAGGCTGAGGAGACAAAAATACTGTAGGGGACTTATTCTCTTAGAGGTCCCAGGCCATACATGGGTTCTATGTAGACATAGTGGTTAAGTATGAAAACTCATTCGTTACTACCATGCCTACAACATAAAATGAAGTTGTTGTGGGCATTGTGTTTATGTTGAAAGTATGGGGAATAAATCCACTTCAACATAAAATATAATAATGGGTTGGTAAGATGGTGTGATTTGTTTATGCATTCAGTTGCATTGTGTTATAGGTGTAAAGGAAGCACATTAGCATTCACATTTCCCATGTATATGCAGGGCCTG